TTCTTTGTATAATCAATTGCATAATTAAATGAATCAACATTCCTCTCAGATTCCAGTAAATCGACATTACATACTTCACATTTTTTATAAATATTTGTTTTACATTTTTTTATTATATAACCAGCAACATATCTTTTCGCCTCAACATGTATAATCGATTCACTTGATGTTATTTCATTAAAAGCAGTAATTAAAGAATCAATTTCGCATGCAAGATCAGTGTAGCAGGGAGAGTCACATTTTTCTAACAATAAAAATTTCAACGATTGCAATTGCTCATAATCATCTTTTTCACAATTAGCATTAATAGAATGGCTTGAATTTATGTTATTAATCAAAACTGTTTTAAATGCATTCATAAACTGCATGCACGTTGGATTGATATTTCTGATTCCATTACTTCTTATACAGCAAAAGAAATTTTCTAGGGGATCCTGGTTAAAATTTCTCATTATAATATTTTTTATTTTAAAATTTTTTCGTAAATAATTCCACAGTTCTATGATAGTATTTACATTATGTATCCAGTTCTGAACAGATGGGATTTTTTCATATTTGACAATTTTTGAACCATCTTTTTGTATAATATGTTTTTCAAATTGTATTGATTTTAAAATCGGGATTATTTCCTGGGTCCAGAACTGAATATGTGGGGAATTATTCTTAAGACACCCTTTAAGAACTTTTGCTGTATCACAGTAAGAGTGACCATTAAAAGAATCGAACAATTTGTCAAATATCAATAAAAGGTCTGCCGTATCTTCACATTCAGCAGGTAGCACATTGCGTCCTGAAAAAAATAATAAAATAATTTATGTAGTAATTGCTGTAATAATATCACGAAAATGTAAGTGTGGCTAGAGTACCAATAGTTCTGTACAACAATTTTAAAACTTTATAAAAGCACTTTGAGTAGCTTGGTGGCGTAGTGGATAAGCGCCGCGGCCCGGTCAGTCACGGGATGGAAGACCAAAAAATTATTATCTCGAGCTACTCCGTGCTTCGGAAGGCACGTTAAGCCGTTGGTTCCGGCTGCATTTGCAGTCTTTAATACCCTCCAATCCGCATTGGCCCAGCGTGGAGGGTCATGGCCCATGCTCCTTCACCATAAGGAAGGCCCCTGCAGTGGGGACGTGAAAGGGCTGGTGATGATGATGATGATAAAGCATAAGCACTGTACATTGCTAAAATAGAAAAACAAGTAAATTATGTCCAAGTTCTTTCCCGGTATTTGTATGAATGATGGAGGTTATCAAATTATAAATAAATACAATTAAACTTACGTGCTAAAAATCCCATTACTGCTGACACTCTTTGGCTAAATATTTGGGCTGCATATTTAACCTTCATTTTTGGAATTTTTTCCTCATACACATGGTATTCGGTTAATTTATTCAAAATTCTTATTTCGTCTTCACCTGTGTCTTCATTCAAAAGCATTTTTAAATGTTCCCATTTGGCAATTTTTTGTTTCCCATTTTGTTGGAATTTTATATTTTTAGACAGAAAATTATTTCGAATTCCTTTCAATAGATGGGGCGTGTCAAATAAAGGAAAAACTTTCAAATTGTCTATTTCGAAAGAATTAGATTGGTACTCTATATTTTCTCGTAAATATTTCTCCCTTGTCTCTTTTTGGAACATTTTAATTGTGCTAACATTTGATGTTCCTTGATCGCAAATCGTGGCTACAATGATAATACCAGCTTCTTTTAGCTGTTTTATGGTATTAGTTATAATTGTTTTTAATTCGATATTCTTTGTTGCGCTTTTACAGAACGTAAATAAAATTGGTTGTTTCGTTTTAGATTTCACACCTTTAATCATCAACACCAAAGCATGATCTGCAATATTTTTCGTTTTTTTTTGTCCAAAATCTTCAAAACCGATGATTTCATGTTTATTAAAATATAATCCAGGCGATAATGCTACCTCATCAAACAAAAGTATGTAAAGTCTTTTTTCAATAGGTAGGTTGCTTACTATTTTTTTTAAATGACTCATAATTTTTGTGTTCAGCCCTGGCTTTATTTTTATTACCTTTAAAAGTCTTTGCAATGTTCTTTTAGATGGCAGTACTATTATTTTGCGTAAGAAATTGTATGCCTTATTGCTTTGTTTTAAAATGGAGGCAGCCATTACTTTTTCTTCTATCGAAAATTTCATACCTCTAGATTTTTTGTTGCCTTTTAGTTGCATATTCATGAAAACCTTAACAGTTTCAGGCATTGCTTCAACAATTTTTAAAAATGATTTTTTTTCTGATAATTTTTTTATCATTTTCATTTTAGTCTGCTGACTTTTACATTTCTTTGTTAATTTTAAAATTTTCTGAGATAACCTATGGATTATATTTTTTTGTTTTTTTCTTGTTTGTTCTGTAAACAAATAATTATTACACTTATTAGAGCTATGACAAAACAAAATTATAGCTTAAACATTTTTTACTACCTTCTCGAATTCATCCATAACACATTCACTGGATTGTCAAAAAGACTAGCTTCTTACTAAGTGTTATTAATATAACTTTAGGGATGAAAATATTCTTAATGAAAAATGTATAGCATTGCAAATGCAAAATTGATCAAATATAATATTTAGGGAATTAGAGATGATTTACAAAGGTTTTATGTACATTTCCAACAATTATTAATAAATAGATGCTCACCTAAGCTTTTCAATTCAGTTTTGGATGAAAAAGTCAATGGTTCTGTTGGCGATTCTGTTATATTATGACTGCTTGTTGCAGATGAGGTTGACGGCCCTTCTTCAACTCTAGGATTAGTAGTATCTTCTGAAATAGTAAAATAATCATATTGTAAAAATTCATAGGCATAAACTACCTGATATATGGTCTGCACATTTCACAGAAAATACACAGTATTCTTTAATGGAAGACACACTCATGATAAAGAGCCAAAGTAATACATACTGCCACAGGTAAAAAAGGTAAAAACTAAAGGAATAGTCTTTATTTGTATACACAAATAGTAAATATATGAATGAACAAAAATATTAGAAATGTGTTTTTTCATTTTTATGTATGTTTTGTGTCTCGGTGTATTTTATCATCAAATTGGATTAGAAAGAGTTGGCCTTGCAATTATTTCAAAAATTTTGTTAATTCTTCAAAAATAGACAAACATGAGTAGATTAGAAATGGGGGCTGCAATTTTCAACACTTAGATGCTTTTATTGGTCCTTTGTACATGACAAATAAATATTAATTCATATTAATAACAACTTAAAATAAAATATTCTCAAATATTTAAATACAAAAATTAGATAAATGTGATCAAGCTAAAAACTTAGTAATTTTCTAGACTGTAAAAACTCCTCATTCTTTACATGTTTCATTTGATAATTAGCTATATTTTCAATTAAAGTGGTCAAGGGTGTGTGAGAATTCCAACATTAATTAAGGTACTTACCCAAACTTTTCAATGTTTCCATTGATGATTCCACTGTCAATTTAAATTCTGTAGGAGTGGTAGTATCTGAAATAGCCAAATAAACATGTTTTCAAGCGGAAGCATTTAATAAAATCATACACATAAAAATAATACATATATTATTCTTATATTTTTAAATTCAAATGTAACAACTACACTGAACTTATATCTATTTAATCAAAACCTATTTGTATTATTATAAAGTATGGTTTATTTTTACATCAGGCTTACATATATGTGAGTTGAATATATGTATTTATTAATATAATAATAAGTATAGTGTTTTAATGCAAAATGCAGTGTTTATATTGTACATTTTCACTATTATGTGATTATTATTAACTTTATAGAAAAACATCATGGTTTAGTACCTCACAGCTTGTCTAGTGGTATATATGGTAGTGGTAGTGGTAAGTCTTTATCTTTAAGACATCAAAAAAGTACTTGAATAAATGTTTACCTTTTCTAAGATGAAGTGTTGGTATTGCATTTCTTGTTAGTCGACCATATTGTGTTTTATAATAATTCTCGAAATGTCTGTGACACAGTCGTATTTGGTTAAATATATAAATATCTCCTTTTTCTCGAGTCCTTTCGTCAAGTACTGACTTCCAGATATTAAATCTTTCATTGTTTTTCTCCAATGGTTTGGGGAAACAATGAAGTGGTTCTGAAATAAATATATTCAATGAATATTATGACAAAAATTATATATTTCTAGGAACATTAAAATTTCTTTCGTATATCGACAATATTATTTTTAGTGAATTCTATTTATATTGAAGTTAAAACTTAAAAAAATCATAACTTTTAGATACTTACTTTGTTCGGCTTCTCCACACCCTAAATAACAACTTGACCGAGGATTCTTGAGCATGTTTCAGTTCAATAAGCAAAGTCCAGTGAGTGTAGCGAAGTCTTCAAAATAGGCAGAGGTCGGGTCCAATAAGCAGAGCTGGGGTAATCGTGCAATGAATCCGTGTCGGTGTCCTTGTTCAATGGCCAAAATTAAGTTCGAAAAAGCAACAGAAGTCCGTAAAACACGCCAAGTCAATAAGGGAGCAAACAAACCAAAAATATTGTAAACGCGCAGAAGACAACAAAGTTCACAAAACACTTTTAAAGAAACGGAAAATGTCCGAAGTTTGTTTTCTTAACAGTGTTGCCAATAGTTAAAATATTTTCAGAAAAATCTGCAAACATTTTTTAATATTCTATTTTCCAACAAAAAGCACTAAATTTAATTCTTGTAGGAAATCACAATACAATTTTGATTAGTAATTTTTAATTTGTATTATATATTTTGACAACTCTAAAACTTCGTTTATAGCGACATCTAGGCTAGCCCGATGCAAATACAGTAAAAATTGCAACGCCATGGCCAAGAGATGGCACCACTTTCCATACAAAAATAAAAATTTTAATTTTATACTACAGTGTCACCCGGCTGAAGTAGACGTTTCTCTTGTTGATTTATTTTTGTTGAGATTTTAATTTTTTATTTGCCGTTAGCGGTCGTGTCTTGTGTTATTTTTATAATATTTGAAAATGAACAAATGGTGGAACTGGGTCCTTGGCATAGCTTTGTTTTGTTTATTATTTATTGCGATACCTCTAAGTTTTACCGCTCCTAAAAATCCAGAAGAGATGAAACTAAAGTTCGATGCGTATATTGAAAAGTTTAATAAAAGTTATAAAAACAATCCAGAGGAATACAAAATGAGGTTTCAACACTTTTTGGTAAGATTTAATATAATATTTACTACGATTTGTATTCGATTACCCTTATAAACAAAAGATTCTTTCCCTTCAAAGTAAACATGTTTTCGCTATTTTATAGACTTCAATACAAGAAATTGAGCGATTAAACTCCGAGTCTAGAGGTCCAGAGCAGTATAGAGCGCGATATGGTCCCACAAAGTTATCTGATATGTCGCCAACAGAATATAAAGATTTACATTTGTCTGATGAGAAACTTACAAAATTACCTGGTGCATATGATAGAAGTTGGAGAAAAAATAGAGAGCGAGTCTCCTATCATGTCGAGAAATCTTATGAAACACTAAATAAAAATGAAATACTTAGCAGGAGAAAGAGGGCATCATTGCCACTCCAAGTGGATTGGTAAGTTTTTATAAAAATCAAAATAAAAAGAAGATTACCTTTCATACCTTCATTCTGAATATAAATTGCAAAGGAATTGTAATTATCAGGTTGACTTTGCTGCCTTGATATGTGTAAAATCAGTGCTTTATATTTTTTTCACTTTCATTTATTTCTTATCACATAATTTAGGTTTATTAAAATTACTATATTAGTATATGAATGTGATGATAAAATAATGTTTGTTCATCCATGTCAAGTAGACATGAATTCAGATTTTAAGTTAAGATATCATATTAAATGCATAATATCATATGAAGTGGATATCAAATTGCATTAATTTACTTATGTCAATTGATATCATGATCTTGTCAAGGTTTGTAATCAACTGGGATCATTTTACTACACCAGTGTTTTATGATCAATGATCATGGCATGTTGCTAGATCTTTTGTATCATAAAGCTATTATAATACATTGTTTTAATTATATAAGAGGATTTTGTTTCACTTAGTGTCATAGGTAATAATAAGCCAAGGTTTGGCTATTTACTTTGTAACTCTAACCACAATGCATTAAGGTTTAAAATCATGTGAAAAGCTTTAACATATTTGTTAGTGATTAATAAGTGTCTACTGATTAAAATTTAATTACACATACACATTCGAAGGTGATATGTTGTAAAGATAATGACTGCAGTCTTTCTTTGTAAACAGACTGAAACATAATATTTAAACTATTTTCTTGCACTAAACATTTTTTTTCTAAATTTTAAGAGTGGTTAGAATTCATTAAATCTCAAACTAAATTACTATAAACACATTTTTTTTTAATCAAACATAACTGTTATTGTATAATAATAAATTTCTTCATTATTCATATAGAAAGCCTTCTTCAAAAAATGTAGGCTTACTTTAATATAAGTTTACCTATTGTTTAGCAAGAGATCAAATTAATCGCAATGTTAAATGGAGGCCTAATAAAAAAAAGAAACTGAGGCATATAAAATTCCAACAAAAACAAGCATATTCTATTCAAGCATATATATTTATTTCAAGCATATATATTGCATATTCAACTGAACTTAGAATTATATGTACTTTGGTCAATCTGTCTTCAGCAGAATATTTATATTTTGGAGTTAATATAGTTGTCAGATAAAGGCTTTTGGGCTTTGACACTGGACTTTGCTATTCCTTATATTGATTTATCTGTGAATATTAGATATTTCCTGTTAGAGTTACTTCCTATTCATGTTCTATTTTTTATTTTATTCCTGTCTTATTCTGTTAATTAAGTGTTTCAATATTTCTGCTAGCGCACAAGAATCTTTCACGTTTGTCCTGGTAATTCTGTTATGGTTTCCTGTGTCACTATCCCCCACATGAGTGTACATTGTAGGGTTTTTAGGGGTTGATGTAGGGTTTTGAGCGAATACCTGCTGGATGGACCCACAGAGCGGAGTTTCACATAACCTCATCGCTCGCCAGGCGCCCTCACGCCTAATGTGGAAGTCTCAACACAATTTTAAAGATTCGATGTTTTGTCGCTGTTATCTCGTATTTAATGTATATTTAATGAAAGCAGTTATTGCATAACATCAAAATACGTTCTGCCATTACACATCATTAGGTTATTTTATGATTGTCTTTAAAAAAGAACCTGTTTCATTATCGTTCTATACGCTATACAAGGCTCAATTTTTTTTTTGGTTGTGGAAAAAATATATATGATGTAATTAGTTATTAAGTATTTAGGAAAAAATATATAAAAAAATAATAATCCAATATTTTACCAGAAAATCATTTTTTTATTTCAGTTCCATATATGGTACACTGAGCCTTAACTTTACTATTTGGTACTGAACTACAATAAACGTAATAATTAGGAAACAGTGTTTTATATTAATTATCACGAGCTTTTTTTATTTTATAATTATTAACATGATACAATATACATTCAATAAGAAACAATTATGTTTAAAAAAGCTTCTTATGGATGTTTCAGAAACAATTATTATCTTTATTCAGGCAAAGTTCTGCGTGACAATTCTCACAAGAAATAAAGTCTTCCTATGCAACCAGGCTATTTATATCTTTATCTTTTTTCACCCCAGACCGGAAAATGCTCAAACCCTTCACGTCTGACGTCACGAGGAGGTAGGATTGCAGTATTGGGCTTCTTTCTTTTCTTCTCAATTTCTTCAGACGCAGAAGCCCAAACATACATAAACTTTTGCCTACCTCAAATTTGAACTTCTTTTGTTTTAGTGGAATTCGCGTATTATTCTGTTCTCCAACTCTTTTGTACAATAACCAGCTATTGATCAAAGAAATATCAAGAAGATGATAAAATAGTCTCAACCACAAAAAATATCGAAGGGATGTTTCAAAGTGTATAATTGGTGACTATAAACTTGTGTCTCTAGTAAACGGAGAATGAGGTGAATGAAAAGTTGTTTTTCTCCAAATGAATCTCCTTTTATTTCTTATGGCAACAAACGTAGTACCAAGGGTTTTAGTTGATGATCCCCCAAGTGCCTGTGATTGTGTAATGGTACTTGTAGTTGTCCCTAATGTGCTAGGCTGCAGATCTGATATTTCAGGCCTTCACAACATGAACATCCTCGTTGGCAGGAGACAAAGATGGTCTTTGCGGTGATAGTGAAGTTTCCTCGTCGCTAAGTGATTTCGATATCAGCTTTTGGAATAACTGTAACTTCCAGCGTCAGAAAATCCTCCTCATCTTCACTCCCAGAAGGGATATTCAAGAAATCTTCAATTTCTTCACTACACAATCCTCTTCGAGACATAATCTCTAAAAGACAATAAAATAATAGTAATTATTTGGCGTAAGTACGAAATAGTAAAACGAGCACGAAAGCTCAACGTACCATATGTGGCACATAGATAAAATGACGATTTCAAATACTATTACTACAGTAATATAAAAAATAACTTACCTCTGCATAATATACACTCCCTTACTTCTCACTAAATTTTTTTGGACTCAGAACGATGCGATTACTAATTTTTAGAAATTGGTGAAATCACGAGAGTGGTTAACGTAAAACTTTTACTCAAATTTTTTGCCAAACTCTCTAACAGGAAGCAGTGGCAACATCTATGCGCAATGCTTTGTATTATTTTGTTGCTAAATATCCAACGGTTGTGTTCGGATTGATAATAGATGTCACTGCACGTTTTTCATCGCTTTAGGGACGATATAAATGGTTGTCCCACATGTGGCACTGGGGGCCTTGTTAATATTGATTATAAAAAAAAAACTGTTAAAGGTAAAAGGAAAAGGTTTACTTGTAAGTAAAAGAATAAATTTAGAGCATGTCAGATTATTCAATACTTTCTCCATTTGATTTATCACAAATTGTGGTAATCTGTTGCCGTGTCATCACTTCAGCCGAGAGACGCCCACTGCTGGGCATAGGCCTCCCCCAAAGATCTCCAAAGCGATCGGTCCGCATCCTCCCACATCCCCGATTTTGTAAAATCACTACCTGAACTAGAAATTGAATTATTAAAAGAAAAAATAAATTACGATGGTGACGGCGAGATATCCGTTGTGTTGTGTGGGTATTTTATAATAAACAATAATAGTAATAATCTAAGGTGCTACTACACCTAAACCTGAAACAATCTACAAAAGTTATTTTCATCGAACCCGAGACCTAAAACGTTGAGATAATAAAAGAATTACGACACAAAGTGTCGTCAAACCAATGTTCGTTACTCGACCATTCCGCCATTTTAAGAAAAATAAACTGCCAGAACAAAAATATCGAGAGCTCTTAAAAAGTCGACTACATCGTTTTTAGAAAACGATACTCAAGTTAGATGCGTAACTAAACAGGTTCTAATCAAATGCGTTTTTATTGAGTGAATTTTGGGAATGTTGTACCTGTATCGTAATGACATGCGGTTGACCTTATTTCATAACTTCTGTGGCGTTTCATTTCATTTTCGTTATTTTTAAGCTACACAATTTAAACACATTTTAATTGAATTTAGCTGTGGTACATTTATCACTTATGTCGCTGTTTAGGGGCCAAATGAAATAATTTATAATGAAGAAAACAAGGAAATAATCTTACGGTAGTTCAAAATGAGAAAAAACATAATTTCTTCACTGCAGTATGAATTTATAACATTATCCGATTTGACGATTTGCTTATTAACTATTTCCTGTGTTATTTAAAGATCATTAAAGTCTCCGATAGAAGCGATACTAGAAATCCATTTTTTTAATTGATAACATCATTTCATGATTTTCAAATTCAAATTATTAATTTAATAAGATGAGTAGCTGTGGTTTTTGCGGATAATATGACTTAGCAATGAGTATTGAGTTACATCATTTATAGCATGCAAATGATGACAGAATTATTAAAATATGCCCAAAAATATATAATATGTGTTATTAATATTAGTATTTTATATTTAACTTTATATTCTAACTAGCTTGTCCTGCGACTTCGCAGTTTGCACGCGTAAATTATTACCTAGCCCATGATAGCCCCGTATGATGTGGCTATCCGTAGGTGAAAGAATTTTTTAAAATCAATTCCTTAGTTTCGGAGCCTATTATGCAAACAAATAAACATTTGAATCTTTTGTCTTTGTAATAGGTATTAGTAAGTATAGAACAAGTCTTCAATTACGTAAAATATCTCTGTTCAATCAGCCAGGTCCTTAAAACAATCTTTAATTTACTGAGAGGCAATTGCTTTATTCCTTCAGGTGTTTTATTACATATTCTGATATCCTTTTAAAACGTAACGTATTTGGAAGTGAGGGCCATCTCTGTTTGTATCATCATCATCATCATTACCAGCCCTTTTGCGTCCCCACTGCAGGGGCTCAGGCCTCTGTTTTTATATTTTCGTATAATTTCTAATCTTTCATATAATTTTGTAAAAGCATATCGGTGAAAATTATCTGTGCATCAGAGGCGCCAGGTACTAACTCCGTTGCATAATTGATCGGAAAATGGGTTTTTTCTGGAGTTGTTTTAACGTTTCGAAAATAGAAGAAAGATTGTTTTTGAAGAAACAGCCTAGACCTTATTTAGGACAAGCCTATTTATATTCCGTAAGTTTCTTGATATAATCTTTTGCTTGCCCATAAAGGTGGTAAATACAAATTTTGCAATTTCCAAAATATATACCTATATCACGGGATGGGTGACCAAAAAATTATTATCTCGAGCTACTCCGTGCTTCGGAGGGCACGTTAAGCCGTTGGTCCCGGCTGCATTTGCAGTCGTTAATACCCTCCAATCCGCTTTGGGCCAGCGTGGAGGGTCATGGCCCATCCTCCTTAACCATCCATAAGGAAGGCCTGAGCCCCTGCAGTGGTGACGTAAAAGGGCTGATAATGATTATGAAACAATAGTGTTTCCATATACAAATACGTCCTGATCACGTTATTCCTCTCAAAACCTAAAACTAGAGACTAATGGCGGACCTAATGCCATTAGAGGCAGTCTCATAAAAACTTGTTTCCATTTCGTCCAGTTGATAATATATTTTCCCGACTGTTTATATTGTTTTAGGAGAGTCAAAGGGGCAGTGGGCGGGGTAAAAAACCAGGGTATGTGCGGTGCTTGCTGGGCGTTCAGCACCGTGGGCGCTATGGAGTCGATGGCAGCAATCAATACGGGGAAGCTGACCACTCTCAGTGTGCAGGTCATTTGAATTATATAGTTTTATAATTAATAAAGCTGATGTAGTATGTAATTAAGTATATTTTTAATTTATATTTAACAAAATATATATTAAAATCGATGCATGCACCATAAGCTTTTTGAACATTAGATAGAAAGTATTCATCGAAAATATTGTCTTATTTGTTTAAGGAGGTAATAGACTGCGCAAGATTAGGCAATCAAGGATGCGCCGGTGGCGACATCTGTCTCCTCCTAGATTGGTTGATGATAACCAAAACCCCCGTGGAAGTGGAGAAAAACTATCCTCTGCAGCTGACCGATGGTGTCTGTAAAGTGAAGAAGAATGCAACAGGAATCAAATTAACTTCATTTACTTGTGATGAGTGAGTGATCTATTTTACGTACTTTTTAAACGGGTTTAGAGATGGTGGAAATCTAGTAATAAAAAGGAGATAATCCATAGAACATACAGAAATACCAAAACTTGAAGTGATGACCAAAAACCTATTTTTTTTTAATAAGAAGAGCTAAGCTGTTAGTTATAAGGAGAGTTAAGCGTCCAAAGTTGTTAATGATATTTTAAAATCGTAGATTTTCTATAATAAAAAACGCCAAATAAAGTAATATGGATAGAACTTATTATTCTTACTGTCTGATTGTACAGTCACGGACATTGCCGTTTTGCCACCCATACAGCTAGTATCGCTTGCACTTAGGCTAGCGTAAAAATTCCAGTGGAATATGGTACTTCACTCTCAAACTTTACACTCACCTGTAAAACCATTACTAGAATTACAGAACTAAATTAGCTCTTTCATATTGTTTGAAATTAAAAAAAGTTTTCTGTCACGCAAATCTAAATCTAAGATGCCGAAAAGAAATGCCGGACTCTGAGTTAATATTTTTCATTAATATTTCTTAACAACAAAACCTAAAACAAATTTAATTTAAATGTTAGGTATAAAAAATACTTGTTGCGTATATTTTAGTAGAATTATATAAATTTTCAAAATATCAGAAATTTGAATATAATATGTACTGTTGTGTGTCATTCGATATTTTTTGTTTTAATAGTATTTTCTTTTTCCTTCTTAGTTTTGTGGGTGCTGAGCAAAAGATCATTGAAGCGTTGGCACTGCACGGGCCAGTTGTAGTGGCTGTTAACGCTCTCACTTGGCAGAATTACCTTGGGGGCGTGATACAATATCATTGCAGGTATGTCCATATAACTAGTAAAAATTATAATTATACCTGGAGTCCTATTCTATTTGTCCTAGAATTGAAATTTGAAAAATTTCTAATTATTCTTATAATTTTGTTAAAATAATTCTACTTCTAAAATAGTCCTATCTCTGTTACATCATAAATTATGGAAAAATGTACTGCGTATTAGGATTAGACGAAAATTGGTGAAATTTCATTTTGGAAGAAACAGAATAATCCTTTAGTGTCATGTTAATTCGTAAGAGTAGTACCATATAGTGAATGCGAAAGAAACTCTGTTATAATTTCACGCCTTAGCCACTAAACAGATTTTAATGAACTTTGATAAAATGAGAGTTTAATGTAAGCCAGAGCAATTTTAAGTATATCTTAATAATATGCTTTGAGATAGCTATCTTACAATAATATATAATAAAAATATAGACATAATATCTCAATCTTTATATTGTTGATAGTACCGCATGAATAAAAAATCGGTAAAAACCTTATTGGAAATAAATTCCCCCTCTTTTTATGTAAAAAAAAAACTAAAATCTTCCCTCATACTTGTAAAAAGGAAATGAAACGCGGTCAACCCCCCAATAAAATAAATAAATAAATTAAAATGTTTTTTTTTTTCATTATAGTGGAGCAGTTATGGATCTGAACCACGCCGTACAGCTAGTAGGATATGATCTCACCGCAGATGTACCATATTATATTGCTAAAAACTCTTGGGGAACTGATTTTGGCTTAAATGGGTACCTAAATCTAGCTATTGGCACCAATATCTGCGGCTTGGCGAACGAGGTTGCCACCGTCGACGTCGCATAGTGTCGCCACGTTTAAAAAGGGAGTTTTTGGTAGAAAATATGTATGTTCGTTCTTAAGATATATATTGGGAGTAAATTTACTCCAGTTAATAAAAAAATGGCGTAGTTATAAATACTGATTGAATAATGTCGGAAGTGACCTTTTGGAAACATTTTGGTAGCTCATTATAAGGTTTTGGTAGCTAATAATACTCAGATACAGATAGCAATATATCTTTAGAAAGTTCATTATAATTTTAAGAAAATTTATATGAAATATCGTTTTTGTGGTCAACTTTTGTGCCATGATTCTGGTCATGTTAACCTCATAACGGCGTATCAATGGCGTTTGAACATAACTTAATCATGCAAATCTTGTTAATAGACTACAAAATAACTGAAATAAGACGCCATTGTTAATAATACAAATAATGCATAGTGGTAGGAAGCAATTAATTGAAACGCCATTCAGATGCGTTATGGCGTTAACGCTAGAAGTGGATTTTATAAATTAAAATACAACTAAGAAAAGTTAAATAAATTAAAATAAAACCAAAAAAAGGTATCTTGCGGGTACTTTAACTCGCTTTAATGAATCTTTAGATTGTGTTCTGATATAACTTATAAGAAATATATTAAACTATAGCAATAATTATATAATTGTGCCTTATATTTTATAGGATGAAAGCGAATATTTACCTGAGAAAAGATACATAGTAGATTTTATTAGGTGGACAAGGTAAAACTTCATGTTATATTTTTTTAATGTTTTTGATTATTAACTAAATATTATAATTAAAATAATTTAACCAAACTTTCCCATTATAAGTAAAAAAACCTATAAATTAATGAGGTAGATAAAAATTCCATTCTTGTATTTTTATTTATATCTACACTTTGAAAATGTCTGTAATTCACTCAGACATAATTATTTATTCTCTCTTAGTACATGTAGCTATAAGAATTGAACAAGTTTAAAAATTTTAATACTGTTCTAATATTTTTGATAATATTTGATAAAACTCAGTCAGAGTCCTTTATAGAACAAAAATAAGATTTAATGTTGACGCTGTAAGACTTTATTATTTTGTTTAATAGACTGATATTTTTATAAAATTATAGAAATTTGGAATTTTTTAGATGTAAAAACTAAAGTATACAGCAAAATGTTGTAGTCTGAACATTCAGTGATGACCGTTTGTTGTCAAGATGCATACAGTACTAAGTAAAAATTCAATTAAAAATTTATCAATCTTAATATCTAAATATGTAATATAAAAAAAGGTTTTAGTTAATATGCTATAATAACGAATACATAAGAAAAAAAAATGTGCATAATTAACAATAATTTCCTGTATAACTTTTATTCGTCTGAAATTCTTTGTTAGACTTTTTAATTGTTATAATTTAAGAAAAACCGTGGTGAATCCTGCCAATAACAATATTTAGTCAATTTCAAATGTAGTATGTAAGTTAGACAGTACTTCTTATACACACAGGGTTTTTAATATATTATGTAAAAGCGCGGAGTTGTTAAATAAGTTTGGAAAGACCAATCGTAGAATAATATTCTCATTTCATCTATTGTTTATTACGAAAATCAAAATACATTGACCATAGAACTGTTATTACATCGTTATCCAAAGAACTGTGTCGTAACCGTAGTACTGCGGTTTGTTGTAAGAGACTATAGGGCGTTGACCCTACCCTGTACAACAATGGACAGTTCTCGGTGGTAACGATACAGAGTTCTATGGATAGCGATATGTATCGTTAGCTTGCAACGCTCATTTAGTACTTTGGATCAGAAATGTTAGCCGGCAAATCTGGATTGTGACCTGCAGAGCGAATCCGTAAAAATCCGTACCCGAATTCGATTTCACTCAGGTATCCGAATTTACTTAGAAAGCATAGAAATTCTAAAGATTTATTTTTTGTTTGTATATAAATACTATACAAGATTGATTGATTCATACGTGTCTCAGATAATCCATGACTATGTCATTTCGAAACTAACTTAACTTATGCCACTAAACGTACGAGTATTATAGCAATTCAAGGTTAAGCGGCTGTCACTTGAGTGAATTCGAATTCGCGTTCAGGTTTTTATAGAATCGTTCTGCAGGTCAAAGTTGCGGATTTATGACAAAATTCAAACTGTTAATATGTGATCCATTTCAATTTTGCATAAATCAACACATTACACGAACAATCTGAGCACGGATTAATTTGAGGCGAGATGCTCTTTTTACTTGTGCGTATATGTTGCCATAGGAATTTGCACTCTACGCCGATATAAATTAATACTTTCGAGACACCTCTATTTCACACACACTTCAGCCCAAACACGCCAGCTGCGTCTTTGTGTGTTTCTATTGACATTCTCATTAAATTATCGCTGAACAATAAAGAGTTTTGAATTGCTAGAGAATATAATATATATATATTTTATTGTGCTTTTAAGAAAATGAGGGTTAAGCCATCCCAACCTTTTTTATCTATTCCGTGTGTGAATATGCCAAATGTAATTATTATAATAAAAGACTTGATCGCTGATAAACAAAATGCCTGCAATTGCCGTCTGTTTAGAAAATAAGACATTGTAATACAAAGTTTTACACTGGTATCTTTTGTCGTAAAGTAATAACTTAAGCAAATAATTTCAACCACTAAACGAGAATTTGAATGAATTATCTGTCATCAGCTATTACTAATGGTATAATAGTTTTTGACAGTTCTTACTTATTACAAATACTTGTTTATACTTATATAAAATATTTGCTTAATTTGTTACTTATATTAGACAATTACTTATACGAATATAAGACTTAGTTGCCTTCTGTAGTTTATTTTCGAATCTCGATTGATATGATGTGAGATGTTTTAAAAATGTTTTTAGGGTTCCGTATCCAAAGTGTAAAACGGGAGCCCCATTTCTAAGACTTTGCTGTCTGTCGGTCTGTCTGTCACCAGGCTGTATCTCATGAGCCGTGAAAGTAAGACCGTTGAAATTTTCACAGATTATGTATTTCTGTTGCCGCTTTAACAAAAAATACTAAAAAACAGAATATAATAAATATTTAAGGGGGCTCCCATACACAAAGGTGATTTTTTTTGCTTGATGTTGATCATCCCATACACAAAGGTGATTTTTTTTGCTTGATGTTGATCATCCCATACACAATGGTGACTTTTTTTGCTTGATGTTGATCATCCCATACACAAAGGTGATTTTTTTGCTTGTTTTTGCATCAACAGGTTGATGCTTGAAATATTCATAGAATGTGTATTCAAACAGTAACTTTAGAAATAATTGAATTAAAATTAAACAAATATCTAAGGGGGCTCCCATACAACAAACGTGATTTTTTGCTTATTTCCAATACGGAACCCTTAGTGCGCGAGTCCGACTCACGCTTGGCCGGTTTTATTTATGGTTTAATGACAAAATCTTTGAATTTTGTTTGGGTACAAGTTTGTTATACTAGTTAATATGTATCTGTAATGTTTTAATAATAGTGTTTAAATTGAAATAAAAAACAATTTATTATTTTAGAGAACTTATCATTTGTGTCCATATCCTGCTGTGCACTTAAAATATGTTTACCGGTTACCAGAAAAAAATGCATTTGTAGGAAATTTACACTTTCGTATTATTGTATTGTTGTTTGTTCACAAAACTACTTTAAAGTTACCAAAGAAGTAGGAGACTATAAAAAAAAACCACCTGCTTACCCATTATGACTTATATTAATAATGTACTTTCTGTCAATCCTTTTATTTTCTCTGGAATTTAATACGCATTTTCCTTATTTCCTTATAGTTGTGGAATTGCGAATCGCAACTTATACAAAAGAGGATAATTGTTTATTTTATTGCTCGGTTGGATATTATGTATACGTCAATCGTTTTACAAAAGTGAGATTAATTTAAAAAAAATGCGTCATTTTTTATGTATGCTGATTGCACTGCTTATAGTTTATGTAGTTATTACTAGATTAATTTATCTTGAATATGTTACTAGTGATGCTACGAAGACCAAAGTGCACGTGTTAAATAATTTTTTGTCATATATGAAAGATTTCAATAAGAGTTACACGAATTATGAGTTTTTAAGACGATTGCACAACTTTGAGGTAAGTATAGATATTAACTAATGCTTTTTTTATTATTTAAAAACTGTGATATTGGACTTACATACTAATATTATAATGAGAATCGATTTATAGGTTATGAAATTATTGGATAAAGATTCGTTTACCCACGGGTAGCTAATTGTACGCGGGTGATAAATTATTATGCGGGAAAAATAGCCGCAATTGCTTAAAATGGGATTTGAACACATCACCATCAGTTTATTAAGGTTTTTTATTGTCATCATCATCATTAGCCCTTTTACATCCCTACTGGAGTGTCTCAGGCCTTCCTTATGGATGGTTAAGGAGAATGGACGAAGCTTCAGGTTGGCCTGATGCATATTACTACGACTGCAAATCCAGCTGCGACCAAAGGCTGAACGTGTCTTCTAAAGCAAGGAGTAGTCGAGAAATTTGCTTCAAAACAACGATCGCGGGCACTGCACTTGTCCAATACGCCTCGACTACGAGTTCTTGAGGGTTTTTACTTTATTACATTTGATTTCGTGGTCTTATTGCTATATCGATATTTCTAAACCATCTCGGTGGTATGGCCTTTGTCAGCGGGTCTACTACACTTACATAGATTCCCTTGACATAGGTTTGAATACAAATGCACACGTTTGAGTGTCCTTTGATTCAATCCGGTCGATCCTAAGGCCGATTGTTTCGTTGAAAACGAAATAAGCACTTAATTAAAATGAAAATTCTTTGTTGAAATACTAATTTGAACAAATTGAGCGTCGAAATTGTGTGGCTGCTATTCCTGAACCACCCTGGTCCCTGGACCCAAAGGCGATCGGTCTTCGCCTCGGTTTGTTACGCGTGGTGGTAAGGTAATTAGATCTTAATATTACTCTTGCAGGAGTCTTTAAAAGAGATTGCGCAACTGAATGAGCTCCATGGGTCCACGGTGTTCGGTTTGACGAAGTATTCTGATTGGTCTGCTGATGAGTTTGGTGCAGTCATGCTCTCTGGATACAGTGTGGGCAATTGTCAAGAACAAACCAAGACATGTACACACAAAAGATACCAACATAAGAACTATGGTTCAACCAAGATATATGAGAATATCACAGCTAGTACTAAGAAGAAGAATGGTTTTTATGATATACCTGAAAAATTTGATTGGTGAGATATGAGTCGTAAATAGTTTGCGTCATGTTAAATTGTCCGGTTTTCTTTATAAATTAGTTGGATACTGGTGTAACAATATTAGATATAAAAGCACATTATAGATATATTAAAACATTTCATTAAATATTATACCGCAAAATAGTCCTTACTGCTATGATAGTAACGACAATTTCGGAAGATTAGTACGCGCCTAAAATAGGGATGATGACTAATTTTTGTTTGTTTGTCCGTCAGGTAGAGTGTTAAAAAATATTAAACACGTATTTTTTTATGTTTTTCGTAATCATAAAATTACGACGTTACATGGAGTTGAAACTTCGCATGACGTCACGTTAGGGTACGTTTTCTACTCAACTGTGCAGAAACGAGCCCCCACTCCTCAACTTTAATGCCTGTTATCTAAGCTATTTCTTGTTAAATTGAAGTAAAGAAAATACGTATCTAATATTTTTCTATTATCTGACTGACGGACTAAATAGAATTGCATTTTTTTTACCCAGTCATCATCCGTATTATATGAATATGAACCTTTGGTTAGAAAGAGAAGGGGTGAATATTAAACTATAAGCACATCAAAAACTTAACAGTATGGCAATGTCTTTGAAGTTTTGTCCAGATATTCGCTATTGCCTCAGCGAAGGGTTATATTTTTTTGCATATATCTCATGTGTATGTAAGTATGTATTATTCTTTATTATCTTTATTACCAACCTTTTCATGTGATTTTCTATTTGTTATTTTTCAGGCAGATGGATTTATTTATTTGCACAGTATAGCCACATGATACATATTAAAACAATTAAGGTTAGAATATAAACTAAAAGAAAACACATTTTTGTACACATGTGTGTTTATGTATTCACTCAATTTGATATTTCAGTATTGTGTGGTTGCTAAATAAATGAATTATTATTATTATTATTTTTTTTTGTCTTTAAACACAAATCTATGCAGTCTTTGACATTTTTATGTAATAATACTCAACATCACAGAACACGGTTCAATTCTGTGTTTTGTGCTCTACATAACAACCCTAGTACCTACGCTCTGCTATATCATGTGACAAAAATTACCGAATTCTAAATAATATTACACTAAAACTCACAACAATTAAAACACAAGTCAAATTGCAAACACAAGCCAATCACAATCGTATTCCTAAAATCGATTTTCTTTAGGTTTTAAGATACTTCTCTAGATAAAGCTACTACGGTACCTTAAAATTTGAGTTTTCTTTTATAGGCGTGAGAGAGGCGTGGTGTTTCCAGTGCTAGATCAGAAATTCTGCGCTGGATGTTGGGCGTTCAGCATAGTAGGTGTGATGGAAAGCATGTCCGCCATCAGAGGAAGAGGGAAAGCCAGACTCAGTATACAAGTAAATTATCGATTTATTTATTTAACGACACAACATTTTTTATGTGAAAGTAACCAATATTACTATCGTTCGGTATAGTATTGCGTTTTATTGTACTTACGGGACGCTATAGTTCACTGATCTCATCTCGTATACCAAGGAAACAGTAAAAAGTTCTATGGATAGCGATACATATGGTTTACTTTCAACGTTCACATAATACTTGGGTCATTATCCCATTGTCTTTTTAACATTGAAAATGTGTTTATACTTTTATATTATCTATTATTTTTTTATATTATTTTTGCTCACCAACCACTTGGATTATAGCGGCTTATTCCGTTTATCCACCCTGAAACAGCCATCCTAATATTCGGAAACAAGTGTTTCCGAATATCGGAAACAAGTGTTTCCGAATATCCACCTTAGGATACTAATCATAATTTTACTTCCGATTTTCTCCTCCGCCTGAGTACAGTCATTTGAGAAAACGTATAAATCCAGTCCAAGATACTTGGTACCTAACATAAAAAAAAGAAATGATTTATTTTGTTTAATGAAATTTTTTTTTTTATTAATACACTATAGAAGCTGATGTGTAGTAGAAATTTTATTCCACTGTTCTTGGGGTAAAAAATCGGAAGAACATTCAAAAGCGACTTCCATCTTTCCACCCCGTTCATGGTGGATAGATGAAAACGCGTTTCCGAGTATCCACCTTAGGGTGGAATAACGAAATAGCCATTCATTCTATTTGTTTCTATCCATAGCTTCTTTAAGATATGATGTGATAAAATGACAAGGTGGTCGGATACATCGTCCAGGTCTATCTTTAAAAGTAATATGACTACTGGAATTAATTTTATCCTAAACCCTAGCTAGTAATAATTATAATATAATAAACTCTGATGATGATTACAACCCAATAAAACTTTCCAGGAGTTATTAGACTGTTCTAAGTACAATAACGGGTGCAAGAAGGGTAATATTCAGTCTGCTCTAGATTTCTTGTGTCACGGGAACACTGGAGAACAATACCCAATTATTACTGAAGAAGAATATCCGTTGAAACTGATTGATGAGACTTGTAAAATACACGAGGAACACAAACTAAAAGGCCGAAGTATAACAGACTATACGAATAGTTGGTAAGTGAGGGGTATAATGTAATGCATTTTTGGTAGATTATCCCCCCCCTAAAAGGTTACGTATCACAACTAACCAAACCTTTTGGTTTGCCAACAGTGAAAAGTTGTTTAGTTGTTTCGCATTTTTTCGCCGTTTCGCTGGCATCTCAGCTTGAGACTTTTTATAGGGTAGGAACAGCTGATGTGTAACACCTTTCGCAAAGGTTAGATATTACCTATCTGGTAACTAAAACGTTTATTTTCATCTCTGTGCTTCGGAAGGCACATCATGCCGTTGGTTCGGGTTCATCTCTTTTTTATCTAATCTAAGACTGGATTGACATTGGCTACCAGCTGACCTAACGGTAAGAGCGTAAGATGTGATCTAAAATGGTATATGCCTACTTAGAAGTGCCAGAACATTTGCTGTTGATAACACCTACCGAACTGCATTGGATCCACGCGGTCTTTATCAATATTCTCTTTAAAAACAGTTATGATATCAAGAAGAAATGTAAAATACTTTGTGGGTAATGATGAAATATTAAAAAAAATTAAGAAACTACAAAAAATTATGTCATTAGATGGCAGCACAAATTGTAGGATCTCAATGTCAATGACGAAGTATTTAAAAAATAAAAATTAGTTCTTGAAATCATACTAAATGTCACTCGCGATGTTTGGATATTGTCTATGATATTCATTCAAATTTTGTTTCTAACGTAATAAAAGTAAATTGAGTATCGAAAATTAATAAATATGATATCGTTTCGTGTTTCTTATTAATTTTAATTTATTTGAATCGTAAGTTTAAATTATTTATTTATTTATTATGTGCTGCCACCTAGTGACATAAAATTTTGTAGTTTCATTATTTTTTTAAATACTTCTTCATGACGTTAGATGAAAGAAATTGAATTGTCAGTGTTGTTGTGGACCTGATAACTCTGATTAATATCGAGTTGAAATTTAATTAGTTCGTGTTACGCAAACGCAACACGTTTAATATCGTACAAACCAGGGGTCGGAAACCGGTATATTTTTCGAAACGTTTTCATCTTAAATACCTAAAAAACACTTTGTTTCGGTTTCGTTCGAACAGAACGATATAAAAAACGATTTTGGAAAAAACAGAATTATATTGTTTTCGGTTAATAAAACGTTTTTAACCATTTATTTTGCGTTTTTTTGCATCGCATACTGTAAATAACGTAATAAAATAAATGTACGCCGCCCTTACAGCCCGCGCGGCACCGTCTTGCGGATTAAACCGGTTTTTTAAAGCGTTCTCATTTCGTTTTCGTTTCGAACGCAATCTTGCCCAAAGAACCATAAGAAACTTTTTAAAAACGTTATTTTGAATAACGTTTCCGAGCCCTGGTACAAATTAATCTTTAAATAAATTTATTTTTTATTTGTATTTAGGAAAATGGAAAATTACTTAATGGAAGTGAGCAAAGAGAAGGTTTTTGAATAGTTATGGAAATAAATTGAATTAATGCTGTGAAATTATCAAAAGTAGCACTTAGCTACGGTATACAATAACATTTATCGTGAAATGGTTTTTATAAATAAAATACGTATACCGTAGCAGTTCTAGGCATTTTTTAATATAATATTTAACAAGTGTTCTGAAAACAATAACAACTAGGTACTTCATTACGTTGGTTGCTCTTAGTTGTTAGTTGAACTAACAACATCAAAACTACATTAAGTCTCAATAATATTTTATATTTATATGGTGAATGAATGAATAGGGTTTATTAATCAGCAACAAAGATCATAAAAAACGACAATTGTAATAAAATATCCGTTTATTATTTATATACTTGCCCGATATGTATTAAATGTTGCATTAGATGACTTCTGGCTAGAAAGACATTGTACAGTATAACGTGCAAATAAGTAGTCCTTTCGAAATTAAGATTTTTTTTACTTAATAAAAATTCAACAATCAGCAAGGTTATAATTTGAAATTTTAAAATCACAAAGACACGTACAGTTATTACACAATCGCTACTGAACTTTAATGCGTCAATCTCGCTAAAGGTTGCTGCCAGTGGGGACGAGTCTGCACTGGACTACTTACTTTCGTCCATTTTCTTTTATGATGAATATTGTATATTGATTTGCCAATGAGTATGTATGACTCGGCAACCGGCATATTAATCAAGTAAACAAAAAATATCTGTCTTTTTTTCTGATATTGTAATAGAAAGTGACTTCTTAGTCTAATCACATTTAAAGTCACATTCCAATGTGTGAAATAAAACAGGGAGACGTTTTTCATTCCAAACCTGAATCCGGATGAATCGTGTCAATTGAAGTTATGAGCAACCAATAAGTTGGCTAATCATTAATGATGACATATAAACCAAACATCGTTTCTTTACATATAAAATAATAACCTGAACTTACGATTCAAATAAATTAAAATTAATTGGAAAGTTAGATATTATATAGAACACGAAACTACGTCATATTTATTAATTTTCAAAACTCAATTTACTTTTATTACGTCAGAAAGAAAATCTGAGTGAATATCATAGACAATTATCCGAAAATGGTTAGTGACATCTAGTTTGGTTTCAAGAACTAATTTTTATTTTTTTTAAATACATTGATATTGTTCATTGTCGCCTCTAATGTTGCTAAACAGTCCTATGCAAAACCTATGCATTTCTTTCTCCTCCTGGCATCGTTTCCTCACCGCTGAGGGTTATGGCACATATGAGGAATTACATTTTGATCTTCCTCGATGTTACAATGCGTACAATGGCTTAAATGACGTTAGAATCAGCGTTTGCGCGAATTTGGTCTATCCATCGTAAAGGGCTACGTTGTCTTGGTCCTTTTTCTTTGGATCATTCCATAACTTTTCGAATTTGTTTCTCTTTCCCTGACCCATTAGATTAGATTAGATTATGATATTACATAATTTAAGTCCAGCTGTCTGTACGCTGAGATTTAAGCTACTCAACGTATTATGATGGGGTTTTCATAAATATACAGATTGATTCAAGAGGAATGTAATACATGTCTACGTGGGCGAAGCCGCTGGCAGAAAGTATCATAATAAAACACTTAAGATGTGTTTGTTTACAGTTATGTCGACCATAAGACAATACTAAATTTAATAGCGACGCACGGACCGATAGTAGCGGCGGTGAACTCTTCTCCATGGATGAATTATATAGACGGAGTCATAAGAGGACATTGCCAGTGCGTATACATACATATTGTTTACATTGATAAATTAGTTATTCGATAGAATCACTAGTCCCTCCGATTATCATTAACATCAGCCCTGTTACGTCTTCCTGGCCGGGGCTCAGACCCTCCTTATGGATTATATGGTTAAGGAGAATGGCCAAAGGCGGATTGGAGGGTATTGACGACTGCCAATGCAGCTGGGACTAACGCTTTAACGTGCCATTTGAAGCGCGAGAAGTTCGAGAGAAATTTTTTGGTCTTCCATCCCGTGACCGAGCTTTGCGAAAGTTGCTTAAAAACAACGACCGCAATCGAGCTACGCTTCCCTTCGGATACCTATACTTTGGTTAAGGGTTGGTGCATATCTGACGGTTGCGCCTCGCGTATTGTCGGTTGCGTTACGTCAGAACTGATATTAGAATGATAATTCAACCTTGACGCCTCGACGGATGTTCCATCGCATAATAACGCATACTTCCGCGAGACATTTGTCACATCATCCTTTCGATATAACTACTACTTCTACATCTAGGGCATTCTAGGTAGAGATAGTCGTAGATTTTTTAAACGCTTTCAAGATTCAACTAGTTGTCAATATATCAAAATATCTGTTGTAACAAAATCTCTAATCGTTTGTTTATAAAGGAACTTTACTTTCGCCACATAACTAAATTATAGTGTTATATTTTAATTTCCATATTACATATTTAAGCAATACGCGAGTATAAAATCACCTTTATAGTCAGTATTTTCTGACATTTTATGCACAAACTATACGTATGCGCCCCCATTTAAAGTGATGGCCCATTTAAAAATGAAACATTAGATAATGAGTTATGGGAATTCCGCGGCTCTGTGGAGTAGTGGTTTAAGCGCCGTGGCCTGCAATCGTTGACTCAGGCAAGGGTCGGTCACGGGATGGGTGGCCAAAAAATTATTATGTTAAGCCTTTACTCCCGGCTGCATTCCCAGTCGTTAATATTCTCCAATCAGCATTGGGCCAGCGAGAAGGGCTATGGTCTCCATCCTATTTAACCATCCATAAGGAAGTCTTGAGCCCCTGAAGTGGATGTGAAAAGGGCTGATGATTATGACGATGATTTCCTATATCTAGATTTTTATAAATATGTACTAAATATATCAACTTCTGCTGACGTATCTCTTATTTTCAGGGGAACTTGGTCTAAACTCAATCATGTCATACAAATTGTAGGTTATGATCTTACTGCTGAAGTTCCATATTATATAATCAGAAATTCATGGGGCAAGGACTTTGGTGATAACGGCTACTTGAAGCTGGCTGTAGAAGGGAACGTCTGCGGTATTACCGACAATATAGCATACTTTAATGTAGCTTAACGTAAATTTAAAATAATTTGTGTATATATTATACTAGTGTAGTGCTCAGTGCATCAGAGTAAATTTACACTAAAATTGCAATGTTTGGTATAAGTCAAAATTCATATTATACAGATAATAAGCAAACTTAACTTCTAGGAATGAATATTACTCCCGTAGAACCTCGTACTAAGTTAACCTTTACTGTGCTTGGTCCTCCCAGCGGTACGTACTGACCTTAGTGGGCAGCCCTCGCCGGCTCTCGCCGCAGTCGATGGACGGGGGGCAGGACCCCGTCTTGAGGTCGATTCCCCAACCACGGGCTCTTCGTTCAGTCCGGCCTGCGTGCTCTGTTTCGGATGGGCGTACAACTGCACATATGCTTGCATAACTGCAGTTGGAAACTCGTCTGGGCGGAGTACGTAGGCTGGGCCGGTCTCGTTGTCGTCTGCCTCTCTCATCTCGCCAGGCTATGGTGGTGTAGTGGGAGAGGACAGGGAGAGGCGGCTTCGGGGTGAGAGGAACCTGGGAGGTGCCCTCAAACGTGGAGGGGAGTTTCTTTCGCTCCGCGGCTGCGGCGCTATCGGGGTTCTGGTCTACACACACTTACATGCACATTACACACATACATATAGCTACACAAACATACACTACACGTACACATTCACTCACACTAACACAGTTCCATATACACAAACATACACACACATTCATTCACCTTACCCACACATCTACACGCTATACTAGTTTGGAGTAGTAGGTTGGGTACTTACCTGGGGACTTGCCTGCTGTACTTGCTCGACGACTGTTGCGGCGCCGGAACCTCTGTAGCGCCGTAGCCGCGGCGCGACGAGGGGGTGTGACTAAATATTAATTTTGAATAATACTAAGTGCAGTCTCGGCGTAAATTTACTCCAACGCTAATCCTTGTTTATTAAAAACACTGTATGTGTTTGTTTTCCTTAACTTAGCATTAAGTACTTATTTAAAGCAGAGCTTCCAAACTTCCCTATGTAACTGGACTATGTAAAATAAAACAGATACCCTGTTTTAGCTGTAGTAAATAGAGTGACAAAGACCTTTGCAGATATGTCTTTGATCATAATTGTTATATTATTTTTTATATGATGTTGTTTTGTAAGTGACCTATGTCTTAACGAAAATTATTTTTTTTGAACTGAGATATACCTCACCATTCATGCTAAAGTTTACAAAATTTGTAGATTGAGAATATATTGCGTTGTCTTAATTATAGACCTCGAAAAGTGTAATTTTTAAGTAGGAAGCAGAAGACCTATCTTTAAGAAATACAAATGCTAACATTAAAATAAAAAAATAACATAAATATCAAAAATAATTCGGATTTTTTTTTTATCAAAGCGATAATTGTAAAACTGGAAGAAATAATAATTATGTATAAACCATGGAATTGAATATAAAAACATACATCACGACCTTTTCAGCATTGTCTTTTAAGTAGGCAATTTATCGTTTGGTATAAGTTGAAGCATTGAGACAGATAAAGAGCATAAAGTACACTACGTCGCATATTTTGACTATATGCACTCGTACATATAATCAAAATATGGGACGAAACTACAGTTGAGAAAATATTGATATTTTCTTAATGAAATGTAACACAAGACGTCCCACAGGGCAGTACCTTTGGACCGTTTTTGTTTTCTTTAATATACTATAAACTATTTGCAATTGTCAAAAAAAAAATGCTGCCACATTCTTTGTATTGTCATTTGTATTGTCGTACCTATTGGTTTCGTGTGATGATCAGTTCCCAGATCGTTACTGTTCACTTTATTAGCTGCAGCTTTGAAAAAAAATAATGTCGGAGTCCCTCGTATATTCTAACTGATATTACTTATGATTCTTATACCATGATTTTATAATATAAGTAGATATAAGGTGAGGTTTTTGGGTCATTAATATTCATTAGGTTGGGGCAAACAAGACCGATCACAATATTTGGTCATTCACCTTATAACAATTTAATGTCACGTAGGACCTCCTCTCCTCTACCTAAAGTTGTGCTATAAATAAAATGTCAAAGGCAACAGACATAGGTATAATAACATAATAAAATTTTATACCGACCATAGACCAACAATTTTTCAATTTTTTCATTGCCTTATTAAATAAAGTTAAATGATTTAACAAACGCACACCGCAAATCAATTGGTTCAAAAATAAAACAAAATCTATCCAATATTTAGCGCTTAAATATTTATTTAAAAGTACCTATATGGATAAATCTATATTTTGTAGATTATATTGTTGTATGCGTTTGCCGACTCAATCTATTTATTAAAGTAAAAAATATCTGTTGCTTTAAAATTTTATGAACTAAATAACAGAGTATTATTTGATATTCGATTTTCACGACTGCGTTGCAGGACATGCATTTTTATTTATATATGTTATGATTTTGATGGGATAAATCTTTTTTCTTACAAAATGTTATATAGTGAGAGCGTGACAATTTTTTATACAGTTTTCGAAAATCAGACGTCTACATAAATATTAGCACTTTAGATTAATAATGATATCATGAGATAAAGATAATAAAGAAACAGAAAATGATAAAATGGTAGGTCATTGAAATATCAAGTAGGTTGATGATGATCTAGAAGTGATAAAAAAAATTGAATGCATGAATTAGTTGGCATGCTATAGAGGCGAATGGCGTAGTAATAGGCCTGGGCTGTTAGTTACCGTGTATCCGCCTATCATAGAGAGGACGTCTGAGGTTTTAGGCGATGCCCCCACTAAAGGGGTAGGAGACCACATAAATTATTTATTTAACGCATAACTACTGAATAAAATCATAATTCTAGTAAACAAAACAAAGAGCCAATGTATGTTGCGTACAGTGCTTTCTGCAATAAAACAAAGAGAATACTAAAACACAGCGTGCATTAGTGAAACTAATAGGATAAAATTTTAAGTATTAAAACACGAATTAATTCTCACCGTACAAAACACAAAAATACTTTTGATCTGTGTATGAAGCAATGGTGGATGTAGGCGTTATTGAAAAAACTGGGCTTAGAACTTAGTTTTCTTGTACAAAAACTTGTCGGTTTGTGTGCGTGAGTCACTGCAGAGATGTGGTACTGCTTTCGTATGTAATTGTGTGTATTTGTTGTAGTAGAAGGGAAGGTAAAAAGGCCACTAGATTTTGTTTCTGATTGCACTGATCATTCTCAGATTGTCGTTCTTTGTAACCGGACAGCCATGGCGTTAGTATTGTTTTTCATTTTCCTCCTTCCTATCGGTGAGTTATTTTATTGGATAATGTCTAAAAATATATTTCTGTTATAGAATAGGCACTCACATATTTATTTATTTTAAAAAAATCAGATTATAAGAAAGATATTTGTTCACGTTCGAAATTTTTTGGAGATATTTTTTTTTGCTTATTCTGTGCCAGTAATCCAGTATCTCAATGTTCAAAACGTCAGTTCAAAGTTCCGTGTTCTATTCTCAACTGGATCAGTATATAAATTTATAAAAAGCTCTCCGTTAGGGACTCCACGTGCGTGGTTTATAATTTTACTTGACTTTTGAATCTGCCGGAAACGTAAACGTAGTTGCGTGAAAAAGTAACAAACATATGTAACGTAATCCCAAACTTTCTCATTTATAATTTTAATAGGGAGTTGCATATGAAAGGATTTATAATCTTGGCTCTAGGTGTTTGTGATACCTTCGTTGTCAAATTTCTATAATGATAGGGCTTTTAAGCGTCTTATCGGTGTAAGTAGGTGCCCAAGTAGGTGTGACGTGTTGTATAATAGAAATAATTTGTTTAAAATGTAATTTTTCAATATGAAAAATTACATAGATTTGGTTAAGTTAGTCAGTCAGTCGCTATCCAAGTAACGGAATTGCTTCTTCTAATTGTTGTATTTTTTTATAATCTTTCCTCCTTTTTTTAGTCACTGGCGACTCAACGGATGGTAGTCCAGGTTCCAGATTTGACCATCATTCTGGTAAATCAAAAGAATTTATTCTTATTTTATTTAAATAATTTATTAGTGCCTGCGTATAAGCGTATTTTCATATGAACCAAATAAGGGAGGTTTCATGTAACATATGCGGCAACAGGGGTCATTTTCACTGTATAGATCTCGCAGTGCGGGAGATCCTTGTGACAATGAGAAGTTGGAACATTCATTGCATGCGGATACATTTCACAGGCTGTCTAACGACTATTGACTTTCTTTAGTCCCCGTTTGCCGTATATTGACTATCTTATCTATTATCGAAAAGTCTGCCGCTGTCTCACGAACTACAGATGATTATTGGAATCTATAACGCGGTCGATATCGCTTGGAATATTTCGCAACCGAGGCGTTTGTGTTGTGTGTGCTATTGTTATACTCGCGGTTGCTGTGACTAACTTCAGTCGCGTCATTTAGGAGTGGTGACGAATTCTACATGTGGTAACTTCATGCTTGTTGTCAATCATTCGAGAGCCGGTTGCCATACGAGGATATTATCTACTTTAAATGTAAGTTGTTAATATTACTGTTATCTGTATTATAGGTATTGAGAAAGGAAAAATCTCAGCTAATATTACTGTCATGGCAGCCAAGCATCTCAGAATGTATGGCTATATGTATTTTCCCAAGTATAATATTGCTAGTTTTTCAAATGGCGTGAAAAATAATTTTAAATTATTAATTGCAAACCATTACAAGATTTTAATTTCGCAATTTCTATGTGACTTAAATAAATATCAATTATCACTCACAAAAGTATAATTGTATCTAATTACGAAAAGAATTGAATTTTGTATTTGAATTCTGGAGGTAGAGAACCCAAGTTATTTTTTATGTAGGTATTTTTTATAGAGTAAGTTTTGGCCTTATTAGACATAGTTATATTATACAATAGATGTGTAGTTTTGTCATTATTATTTTAGCTTATTTAGAATCTAGTCTTTGTGTAGGTACAAATGATTTGGAATTAGTGTTTTTTTTATAGTTCAGGTTAAGTTCTCTCCAAAATGTTTATTATTAAGTAGGTACTTATTGATATAAGCGGTTGTTCATCCGCCGTTGTTTAAATGATAAGAATTATCTGTAGATATTTGTTTTGTGGAGTATTGGCGAGAATTTGTGTAATAATATTTTTATAGTACAGTTGATAACACGTCAATTAATTTTAAACTTTAATGACAGTAAAGATCAAAATGAACTGTGAAAATTTGACAGTGTGGCATAAGCGTAGAAACCTTTTATAGGCCATCTGTAACGCAATTTGATGTCTATATATAAAAATCATGTGCTGTTGGTATTCCCGAATATATATTAATAAAAAAAAAAACTTTTCGTGCTGCTATGTGTATAATTAACAGCGCATTAAGCTGCTACAAAAGTATATCCAAACAAATATTTCATATAAAATGTTGCCAAGATGACACTATATGGGTCAAACCGTCAAAAAGTTTTTAAATCTTATGTAGAGCCAAGATTCTCACATACTTCTTATCGCTTTCATAAATACTTCTTATCACTTATAAATTATTAAGCAAATATATATAGATATATTTATAATATTTTTCTATAATGAAGCGGTATGCGGAAAACTGAACCCATATACACTTTTATCCTCTAATTTTAGGGATTGAGACATGATTTTTTTCTAAAATCTCTATCAATCCCCAAAATTTATACTTGATTTATTGGAAACCTTTTTAGCTCCATCGAATATGGTGACTCTTAAACAAGAGGATTTCGGGACATTCAAAGGAGAGACGGTAAAAAAATACACTTGGACGAGTAAGAGCGGATTTTCAGTTTCTGTTATCTCATATGGCGCTACTATCCAATCTATTAAGGTGATTATATATTTTGTAAATATGTCTGCAATAAAACACTACTTCTCATTTTTGTGCGCAACTTCATTAGAGTTGATAATAGTATCAAGAGAACTTAGAATAATAAGAAGACAGTAGAATAAAAAGTCTGATATACTCTATATTTAAATATATTTGCATTTACTATGTCATATTGACGATAATCATCTACTACCCGTAGTCCTAATTAATTTTGAGCCAGTGCAGTATTATTCTTTTTTGATACTTATCGATCAGCCGTCATTACTCACTCCTTTCTTACATGTGTAATCTTGCACACCAAGAAGTTTAGATATCTTTTTAATTGTTTCCAGGTTCCTGACAAGAATGGTGTCCTAGCTGATGTAGTCCTAGGCTTTGATGATCTGGATGGCTATGTTAATCGGAACAGTCCATATTTGGGCGCCACAATAGGCCGTTGTGCCAACAGGATTGGTGGTGCAGCATTCGATATTGACGGTGTCACTTACAAGCTTGCTCAGAATGTAAACCCTAATCATCTTCACGGCGGAATTGTAGGATTTGATAAGGTGAGGTTTTATATTCGGTCGGCTGTTGAAGTATTTGTTTACTTTTATTAAATTAGTCTATCCACGTGTATGAATTCGTGACGACTTGTTGAGGTTTGGCAAGCATACAGACGCCGCATACTAAACATTAAGATTTTGTGGGTGTCATGCTATAAAAAAATAAGTAAACGGTTGTCTATATTACGACAGCGGAAAACGGCGTCAAATGTTTCTCATTTTCTTTACTGTAGGGTTAAGATTGGACGTTGGATTTTTGTCGGTCATACAAATATTTACTGATTTAATTTTAGGTAAACTGGCAAAGCACTATTGAAGGCAACAAGGTGACGTTCAGCTACTTGTCCAAAGACGGCGAAGAGGGTTATCCCGGCGATCTCCTCACCAACATAGCAGTGGAATTGTTGGACGATGACACACTCCGTCTGGTGTTCCAGTCTACCACCACTAAGAAGACCGTGGTCAATCTTACCAACCACTCTTACTTTAACCTCGCCGGCCACAGTACCGGCGCAGCTGAGTTGTACAACCATGTCATATCGATGAATTCCAATAAGTAAGTCATAGAAAGATGTTGCTGGGTAAACTGAAACTGAATTTCTAGGTTCATTATCATCATCATATTAATGTTCAGCATATGTTTACACTCCTGGAGACAATGCTCTTTCTATTCGCCTTTTTGGACGGTAAACGCCTTGATATAATAAATTTTAGATCACCTATCTGACTGACCACAATAGAGATTGGACCTAACCTTTTGCGTCATCGAGTACCTTCATATTGCAAACTGTTTGCATAACTTTGTTTTAATAAATTACCTTTCTCAGAAATAAGTATATTGCCATTTGAGCCTCATTTTGAGGGGTCAACGAAAATAAACCTTTTTGATTGTCATTTCAAAATAAAACATTCACATGATCACTTGATTTTTGATTTTAGGAAAACTTTGATTTTAGACGTGAGCATAATTAGTGTCTGCTTAACCCCTTGTCAGAATTCACGCAGGTAGCAGCTGACGAGGCGGCTTCATTAGCCGCCACTGCATCTGTAGCATTTGAAAATGCAATTTTTGAAATGAATTTGAAATGCATAGTTTATAAAGTCAATTTAACAATTGCTATAGTATTGTGTTGAAGCAGATAGTTTTAGAATCGGCTCCATAAGGTGTAATATTATATCAAAAGCGCTAAAGAACTAATTTAACAATTGCTCCTGATGATGTAATTTTTATTTAAAATTACGAGTGAATTTACTCTTTTCTAATTTAGTTGCTTTCGGTATTAGGATCACAGAAACCAACAACGAGTCGATCCCTATCGGCTCCTTCAAGGATGTGGGAGGCACTCCTTTCGATTTGCGCGTACCCACTCGACTTGGTGACGTTATCGAAAATAGCACTGACCTGTTCGACAATAATTTTTGTGTGGCCACATATGGAGAAAAGGTATGTTTAATTTATAAACTTGAAATATTTACTTATGGTTCAAACCTGGTTAATGTTAATCATAGAGAGACTGCATTAGTCTTAATCTATTCTTAACCTCACGCCGACTTGGCCAAGAACAGTTCTATCCAGCAGCAAAGCAAATTGTTTTTCATAGTGTTTGTATGAAGTTATTTTTGTGGTTTTCTACAATGTGAAATATTGCAAAAATCTACTATCTTATTCAAATTAACTTCTATTTTATTTTCTTATACCTTCCTATTTAAAAGTCAGAGGGGGTCACGGAAAATACTTACCGACTGTCTTGAATTACCTTTCGTTTTAGCTAAATTAATTTTTAAATGACTTTGTTATTTTATTTGTGGTCTCAATAAAATTTCTTCACATTTACAGCACCTGACTTTCGTAGCTAGAGTGACGCATCCGGGTTCCGGACGATTCCTGGAAGTGTTTACCGATCAGCCTGGTGTACAATTGTATACAGCCAACTTTCTACCTTCACCCGAAGACGAAGCTTTAGTAGGCAAAGATTCAGTCGGTTATCGCCGCCATGGCGCCTTCTGTCTAGAAACCCAGAACTACCCTGACGCGATACACCATGATAGCTTCCCATCGGCCATTTTGAAACCTGGCGATGTCTATATACATACAGTTTCATACCGTTTTGGAGTCTTACAGTCAGCTTGAGAAGTGATTATTTTGTTTTTATTATTATTTTAATAAATTTAGTCATCATAACGCGATTTTAATATTTATCTTATAAGAACTCTTGAGTATATCTTAATTAAGTATTTTGTTAAGTGGTCTAAGAACTTGGGTTCGCGTTCCGTCAGGTATGCGAGATAGTTGATTTTTTAAACCCGAGATTATATGCAGCCACACAGATTTTTTTGTTTTTTTTCGGGACTCTGGACATCATACAAAATGTCTGGACAATCCAGATGAATCCCAACCATCTGGCAACCCTAAGTATAAAACGATTGGTGATATTAAGCAGCGACTTGTTGTTCTATTCTATTTTTACTATGCATTTTTGCGATCGGCGCAGCTAGAACAAGTATTCAAAGACTTCATTATTGTATCATTTAAATGTTCTTAGAGTCATAATTTATACATAATTACATATTTTATTCAATCAAATAAAATCTTAATAAGTGTTTTGTAAGTTTTATTTTTGATACACAAAAAGTTTTTAATTGTGTTACTTTATCATTATTATTGTGACGTAAAGTCAACAGCACCTCGGGTTAATCAAAACTCTGATATCACCAATAGATTTTAAACTATTGACAATTAAAAATAACTCGACGTACTGCTGGGTGTACAATGGAAAATATTCGTTTCTTTTATTATGGTACATTATGTGTGTTCATATCGCGGAGATTTGCAGTATTCCACTTTGTGATAGATATTATGTGAACAGTTCTTGCGTTACCGAAAGACTATTTTAAATTGCGACGATGATGGTTCGTAGAAAATAATCTGCTAAATGTGGCATACTGCCAATTTCCTCGATTGTACATACCCCTTTTTAATTGTAGAAGTATAGGATAGTGTATGCTGGTATTTTATACACATTTAATAAAGTTTGATTCAATACAATGGAAATCACTGGCATGAACAAGAACCAATTTTTAATAGTCCAAAAAATACAAATCCCAGCACATCATACTATCTAATTGGGCATTTCATTGTTCACTGTATGATTTACTTTCTATTAGGACACCTAATCCCTAATTATAATATGTGATCACTGTTCTTGCTGGTTTCACCATTTTGGCTGCTATCGTCATTCTGGTCGGAGTCGCCGTTCTGGCTGCTATTACCATTCTCCCAGGCGTTTTCGCCCCACATCAAATTGAGACTCTTCTTGACACCATCGTCTAACGGTGGGATTTGTGAACGAGGCAGTAAGAACGTAGACAGATTGAACAGATCTAAGAACACTTTGTAGCGATCACTGAAATAAGAAAAACAAAATTAATTTTGAATGATTAGGCTGCACAAGGTAGAACATGCCAATCGGTATAATGCGTGGCACGTTAATTGAACCAAAATGGCGACTGCGTAGGAGCAAGGCAGCAGCGCATTTTCAGGTCTCGATAGAGGTGCGGGGATGAAACGCACAATGTAACTAGAGAATGCAATCTCGCCAGTTTATGAATATTAATAACGCGAGATCTCGCGAGATTGGCACTTTTGTATGTTTACTGTTTTATTTTAATTCTTATTTAAATCACAATATTAGAATAAATTAGGAAAAAGATATAGGAATTATAGGTATTGTGAAATAAACATTTATTTTTACGGGTAATTTCAATAAAGTAATAATGAATAAAAGTGTCGAGTAAAAAAATAAAACTTTGACGTATCTAATCAAATATGAAATGAAATAAACAACCAGTCTTCTGTGCTAAAATCAAACAAAAACTAAAATAAAACTCATTAACTATGTTGAATTGACTATTAGAGATTATCATCAATGAAAGAAAACTATATGTACTCAGAGATCTATTAGAAATTGGTGAATAAATTAACAAAAAATACCAATCTATTTAAAGGCTTATTCAGTCATTATTCAGGTTCACGTAATTATTACGAATAATTATGAAAGAAGCTTCTTAAAAAAGATAAGCACAAAATGTCCAAAGAATCTTTGCTATTCCTCTTATTATTGTGCCGGCAAGATAACCAGCCACCGAGAAGACCCTTTCGAAAACACAAGTAAATATGCCGAGATCTCGCGAGAACAAGAATACTTTCCCTAAATGTAAACCATTGTAACGCAGAATAGTCCATCATTGTACCTTTATGGAGAATCGCCATTTTGGTTCAATTTACGTGCCCGCATTATACATAAATTCATATGTGTTTTGTTCTGTGAACTAAACATTTGTGTTCTTTTCGATCTCTGTTGAAGCGTGATTATATTAAGGTAGTCTTTTTCCGGTAGTAAGATTATATTATCGGAAATAATATTATCGTAATCTATTATTTTTATACCAATGTCTTTGTTAATGTATAAAGTTTACCTGAGCGTTGATCGTAAGTACTGGTATCCTGAGGAGCCGCCTGTGCCCAAATGCTGAGAACCAATCATGCGCTGCACCATGATCACGTGGTTATCTGGGAATGTATAATTTTATAGCAGTACAGTTCGAAGAGGATTTCGATGGAAGTTAGTAGTTTGCGAGAGGGAAGTTAAGTTATTTTCGCTAATTAAAAGATATATGACTAAAATTTTTGAATTTTGACTCATTCGTGTTTGGAACGAAATTCCAAGTAGTGTCAATTCTATGCAAACATGGAACTTAACAATTGCCTACCTACTTGATTGGTTTGGGATAAGTAGTTTAAAACTTTCGTATGATCATATTAAACCACTTTCAGATTTATTAATCTCCATAAAGTGTTATCCACCAAATAAAGGAAACTCATATTTCATTCTTCATTTAAATTGTCCCGCGAAAATAACCAGTCACGACCTCACGTGTCATTTCGAGTAATGACGTCACTTGTCAATAAACATAAGTACCTATTGATTGTACTCGCAACAAAAATGTTGACGTTTCGTTTATTGAAATGTGACGTCAAACGATGCTCCGTCATGGCCGCCCGCATTTCAGTTGTTGTAATACAAAGATTATAGTAGTTCAGTTGTTGTAATACAAGTTGATTTTGCAAAAATAAATATACTTACATTTTAATTAAAATAGTTATTGTTTACATATAATTTACCATTTCCAACATATTTGATAAGTTGTACAACAATCTGAATTTCCTTTAGCATAGTGTCGATTTGTGGCGATCATACATAAACCGTTGGTTCTGCATTTGTAAGCGCTGTCGTAAGTTATACTTACAGCGCCATTTAGTGATAAGGCTGTCGATGTCCATAAGAAGTGTGAGTAGTTGATGTGGCTGTGAAAAGCGTGGCTCATCTCGATACATAGTTATCATGATCGCTCCCTGGAGGGCCTTGTGCGACAACCTGACAGATAAATATTAATAAAAATATTTTATTAGCATGACTATATTTTTCAAAGACGTTCTTTTAGATGTTTATTATAATTGTGTATGGGCGTAAATAGAAAACGACAATTGCAGGTCAATTCATTAGATACGTATTTTTTTGTTTCACAAAAATATTAGATACGTATTTTTTTGTTTCAATTTAAACAAGAAATGGCTTAGATAATATGCCTTAAAGTTGAGTGGGTTCGCTACGTCACAGTTTTGTTAAAAATGTTCCAAAGCGTGTTTGAATTTCAAATTTGTAGTAGATGTACTTATTTTATAGAAACATTTAAAAGGTAGTTTTAATCTATGTATAGTATAGTATATATATTCTCTTTAGTATATATATATATATATAGATAAGGTACCTACCTCCTTTCACCGCGGTTCCGTAGTGCATCGTGCACTTGTGGATCAAAGATGGAGCGGTATATTTCTCGTCGATTTTCCGCGTCCGCTAAACGGTGTCTGCGGACATTCTCACTAGTCTCCTCCTATTGTGAAAAAAAAAAATTACATATATATATATGCACATATTTTTATAAAATTTTGAGTTGTTTTATTTACGATACTGGAAGTAGGAAGGATACTAGAAGCACGGGATATAATTACCTATTTCATGACAGTTTACACTTTTATATGTATAAAGGTTTAACACAATAAAAATGGATGCGCATATGATTTCCAAAAAAATTAATTCTGCCTTTACAGCTTGGGACACCAAAATATACGTACTATGGAATATATTTAGTGTTTAATCAAAATAAACTGCGTTCCGATTTTCTTTCTGTTGGCATATAAAAAGAAAATTGAGTTAAGGCACAGCCAAGCAGTTAACACCTCATGTAATTAAGAATTACTAACTTAATAATAATAATAAAAAGGTAAGAAATTCAAATATTTAAAACACAATATTAGTAACAAAAAGTTATAAACGTAAAAAACTAGGTACCAGAGTGACAATTATATTTTATTTTATTTTTATTGCGACAGACTGTGTATATGTACCTACACCGAAATTACTGTTATTTACTCACAGTAGTAACAAGTAGTAGAATAAATGAACATGGAAAACCTCCCCACACTTACCATGGCAGCATCGATGTCCTCCTTGATAGTTTTGTTGACGGCGGCCTGGAATTTGCCCCAGAAGTTGAAGCCGTGCGTGTTCAAACCCGGCGTGCGTTCTAACCATCGTTCTATTAAGGCCAATAGCGCCGGCTCCTCCTCAGACCTGGGTTTATAGATTTATTTAATATAAATTAGAAATGAATCTCAGACTACCATAGTATTTTATTTAGGTACCTACTTTAAGAATATATCTAGTATTGTTTCTATTGTCGCAAAATTCTTATTAAATACTTATAATGCCGGGTATTAGACGCGATTTTACACTGACCTGGGAGCCAATACTATTAAATAAATTTTGTTTAAATCGATTCCAGTTCCATTTTAGCTGGAATTGTATCGCATGTCACTTAGTAGAATAGAAAATTCATTAAAAACTGTAGTTTAGTTCGGTTTCGATCCGTTTTCGATTCGATTTAAACAAAATTTATTTAGTAGAATTAGCCCCCAGTGCCCACGTTTCGCCTGAGATGTGTCTAATACCCGGTATTATAAGTATTCAATAATGCAGCGCGATAGTTTAAAAGTAAAATTCTTACTAATTTCGAAACTCTGCAGTTGTTCGATGAGTAATATTGACATAATTTTCGTCACCGGTAATCGATTTTGACTCTTAAAGGAATTCTAATAATATTAAAAAGTTATTACATAGGTTATAAATTTTAAAAATTGCATTCCCAATGGAAGTACTTCAACTAGGTAGTCTAAAATGTGGAGGAATTCAAAACAATAAATAGTATCTATCTACTCATTACGGACAAATGAATACGCAATTTAAATATCTATTATAGATGTACATTGAATTTGCGTCAATCCTGGATGAATTGATTTGTTATGTGGCATTGGTTGCGTCAATCGTGGATGAATTGGTTTGTTATGTGCATACCTACCTATATGGCATTGGTTGATAACAAAACAATTGGTTTCAATTAAGGTCTTAATTTGTGGAATTTATTACTTCCCGTACTTTGCATGAGCTACCCTAATGTCTTAGTGTCATTTAAATGTTTCTTAGTCATTTTGAATATAAAATTAATAAAACTAAAAATTATAGAAGTAAAAGTGGATTCAGAAAAGTTTAAAACAATTAATTTGTGAATGAGTGAAACGTTATTAGGTCCTAATGTTAATTAAATAATGGAATCTTCTTGGTTTCCGCTGTATTTGCCGTAGTTAGAACTGATGAGTTCTGATAATTGCAGGTGCATCATCTAGCTAGAGCATAGATGAACCCTCACCGGTGGGATAGCCTGTTTTCCGTATATCCTCTTGGAAGGCCTATGGCTAATTAATGATGAATACATACACGTAGATACTCATATGAATACCTCGTTATCGTAACATAAGCGTAAGAATATTTGTTCTATAGAACAGAAATAGGACCGAATATATTTTTACGGAGTTAATATATTTCATAAGTCCTTTAACTTTTTTAAGATTTTTTAAAATGCTTTTACTCACTAAAATTAAATTGTTAATAGCAATATACCTTTATAACTATACAATAATATTCACTATACAATAACCAGCTGAATTACCAATTGCTTAGTGAACTGTATTAAATTTATTCGGATTGGTGTTCAAATAATATAATATTTTCAATCATTCGAAAAAAACCCTGAGGAGGGGATTCTTGAGAAATGTCTTTTAGCGACAGATCTGTGGCACTTATTCTTCACACTACTAATATATAAAATCTACAACAAATTGTGTAAAGAAAGATTGATTAGGTTTTGGACGTCAATATACTTTATTATATGATGAAAATATCAAAACACTTACTTGTGTAATAATTCCATAGCGGTAGGATCGTCTCCGAACACTGTTTGATAATTCTGGTTGTATTTGACTCGGAGAGCTTGTTTCAGACCCAACTGAAAATTAGATTAACTGAAATTATGTTACATTCGTTCAATAAAATAACACACAATGGTATTATGGTTATGGTTTATATATGGTAAATCGAGATAAATCTATGCTAAAGTTCTATAATGATCATGAAATATATATTTGTAAATTAAGTATTACCGCGTGACGCACGTTATTATACATAACAATATATAAGTAAGATGTTGTTAAGAAAATTTGAATTAATTCTAATTAGACGTCATAATTACAGCACAGGTATAATACGTTCATAATCAACACACTTGTTTAAATGAATCAAAGTTAGTATTGGGATATTGTTATGCTAAATAGATTAATTGTATTCGATAAATCAGTGTACCAGATAGTTAAATAGGGTTTATTTTACAATCTATAGTTAATAACGCGTACTCTATTTTAGATTTTATAATGAAATAACTATAAAGCCATGGATTTGATAGAAAATACTTATCTCAGGGCTCATTCGTGTTGGAGCCTGACTATGTAACCATTTTTGTATATATATTATTTTCATTGGTTTTATAATAGAATAGTCTAACTTTACAAAGGAAAAAATATAATTGAATATTTTTGTTAAGATTCAAAGATTTTTAAGCAAATTAGAACCGTTCATGTCAATATTCAACTTCAAGAAAAACTTGATCGATTTGATGAATATTGTGTTCAAAATAGATTATGTTTGAAGAAGAAAACAATACCTAACAACGAGTACACACTTAATAATTTCAAACTAGAAATGATACATGTCGTGCCCGACCGAGTGTTTCAGGATTCAGAGTTAGGTACATTTACAACATCATATATTTCAAAGCGTATCAAATTATGTCTTCATCATGCGTACCTGCCAGCAATTTAAACAACCAGGTACATATTTCTTTATAAGATGTAAGATCGCAGCTGGAATCGCAGCTGGATCGCGGCAGCGTGATTTGGAACCCGTTTTACAATAAGTACCATTGCAACTTAGAATCAGTGCAGAGAAAGTTTTTGAAACGTATCAGTTTTAAATACTGACGTGCCGAATTATTTTATGACCGTTTATAGTACAAATTTTGAGATACTCAATTTGTACACATTATACATAATAAATACGATTGTAACGACTTAAATGACAAAAAAATGTATAGGATTCTTAGCTCTTCAGCTCGTATTTGTGAAATGCACACGTTTAAGTCTTTTCTGCCCCAATCGTGGCAAAAGTAAGGCCGCATTGCGTGCACCTTCGACCCGAATCGTGATCACATACAACACGCATCTCATTTTCCGAGAGATTGACATTTTTTTTAATGACCTAATGACCTCATCAAGCAATCAATCACTACAATTAAATTGAGATATAAGATTTATATGTTTTACTGCTAGCACTTGAGAGACCAGCATGCGTAGCATGACGAACTCGAGAACGATTTGTCTACACACAAAGGTCTCTTTTCTCGGGTGCGCCCATACGATATCTCACTCTCGACCCGAGAAACTGACAAATGAGTATAGACAAAGCGTTTCACGAGGTAGTCATGCTACGCATGCTGATCGATATCCATAATATATTGTGATATTATTTGTGTTCTCTGGATCACCTTTTGCTTATATCCGCTATGTCAAGCGTAGTTAGATATGTAATCAAGAATTTTTTTAAATATATCTTCGAATAGATTAGTGGTGAATCATCTTGAAAATATTGTTTTTATATTATTATTATTATCATTTTATTTATTTTTTCCCCCGCACTTTTTGTCTTGCATACTACATATTAGTAACCTGTGGATAATGTTGTTGGTTGTGCAATTAGCCGAAAATTTTATTGTTTATATGTGTAAAATATATTCTACAACCGTTTGTTATCCTCAATAAAATAAAATAAATAATAATGTTGAATTAAGTATATTAAAGGCGTATTTTGGGAAGGGTCTGTGGCTACAAACGTACTGTGTTAAATCCTAAAATAGTCTTGATAATATTGTAATAAATATTATATATTTAATATATAGCACAATAATTTACGATGTAATACCAAAATTCTGAATCTAAGCTGCCTTATAAAAATGGAAAAATGATTTTTTTAACAAATATTTTATAAAGTTAAGCTGAAAAATGGATTTTGTTAACGCTTTCCTAAGTTTATATATTTCATGAAAACAGAGAACCGTAGGGATGTAACCGGGTTTAGTACCTAATATCTCTATCAACAAAAAAAATAATTAAATAATTGTTTAATAAATATGAATAAACAGTTTTTACTTGTAAAATGTTTACATGTTACAAACCTTATTCTCTAATAATCTGAATTGTAAGCTCTGGAAACCAGACGCCGGACGCAGGTAGTTTCGGAAGTCCATGAAATCCAGTGGAGTCATAGTTTCCAGTATCATGACCTGATCTACTAAGAGCTGGAAAGAAATATTGGAAACATCACATAAATTACATAAATATGCTGAAAATGTCCAGACAAAATACATTTTCAATTTCCAAAAATATAGAAGATCTATCTCATATGAACAGTAAGAATTGCTTATAAACATTCCGTAATGCTGCATATAATAAAAGTGCAGTGCAGCATTATGATAAGTATTCAATAAGAAGAAAGGAGTTCTATGGCGCAGTAAATGGTGCATTGGGTCTGTGATGAGTAGCTTAAGTAACATTCGCAAGAGCAGGTGGATTAGTGGTTGGGTGTAGAGCATTCCCTGCTGCATCGCAGAGCCCAAAAAAAGAGGCTACACGGTCATCCGCGTTTTATTAGACGACTTCGAAGTCTTCTCACACACTCGCTGGTGCCTGTCATGCGGTGGGAGCTGAGCATTACCCTACGAGAAACTAGCTTCTCCGTGCTTTGGAAGGCATGTTAAGTCGTCAGTTCCAGATGCATTTGCAGTTGTTTATACCCAGAAAACCGCATTGGGCCCGTATGGTAGTAATGGCCTGTTCTCTATATTTGATAGACCTGTGCCCCAGCAGTGGAGAAATTTATAGGATGACGATGATGACTATTCAATTATGTAGTTACTAGATAATGGAAATTTTCCATCAAGGTTTGCTGCGAGTGCAATATATTGATATTATTGAGACACCAATAATATTTACAAAAAATAAGTGTTGTAATTATTATTATATCTCAAGTAATAACAACATTTTGTTACTAAAAGCTATGAAGTTGACAAAATAATCTTTGTTTATGTAAAAATTAAATAATACGCTTTGTTAAATATTGATTCTATTCATATTCTGCAAACGATAATAAGCCTGTAAGGCTTAAACATAAACATATTAAATTAAACATATTAAAATAAAATTAGAAATCTAAGAACAATGAGGGAATTTTACATTATATAGTTGTATGTGTTCAGGAACTTTCTCAATACTCAATCATTTATTGTTAATGTATGTAACAGAATAGATGGCATAAGCATAAACATGTCACATGACGGGTCATGTGACATGTTTATGCTTATGCCATCTCTTCTGCCGTACTCTCTTGCCGTAATTGTAATTGCGTAATCTCTTGCCGTACCCCGGTACGATGCATTTGGAATTTTACAATTTGGAACTACAGGCAGATGTTAAAAATAAATCAAATAGATCAGTCAGTTTGAGGTTAGGCAAATGATAAAAATATTTAATTTTATAAATTACAGTAGTAAAATCAATTAATAATTTTTATTAACATTATATTGGTTGAGTATTTTATTCCATGTAATGTATTAATTTACAATATTTTTTATTAAAATGTCAAAGCGTTTACATCGATGGTCAAGAATGGGTAAGTATTCAAAAAATAAATTAGTTCCTGAAATCAAACTAGATGTCGCTACGGTACTTTCTTGATTTCTCCATGACAACCCTTCCGGTCTTCTTTCATGTATAAAAGTAAATTAATTTTCAAAACTCAATATATAATTTACAAAATTATTGACTTTTAACGATAATTTGTTTTTTAAAAGATCGTAGTCGTCAGATATTTTTTATTCCGTAAGTTATTCGGTGCTGATAGTCATCAGAACCTTCATTAATCGAATGCTTTATTTGTCTATGATTCCCCAAATCTTTTGTATTTGTCGTGGGGTAACAGCTGAGCAGTCTTGAGATGGACGGGAGAATTGGATTTTTTTTTTATTCTAGATAGGCAAGTATATGGCCACAGATCACCTGATGGTAAGCAATACAGTGGTTTAAGATAGAGCGTGCTTGCCTAGAAGGAACCGATTCCCTCTTGACTTGAAGAGACCCAGATTGTATTTGTCCGGAAACAGCGAGTCCGGTAGCGAATTCCACAGCTTCGTAGTTCGCACGATAAATGTAGAGGCGAATCGCTAGGTGCGAGTTTGTGGAATCTCCACAGTAAAGCGGTGACGCTTCCCAGTACCCCTGGTTGTACGATAGTGGAAAGGGGACGACGGAATTAAGTCATGTAATTCCGATGCACACTCGCCGAAATGTAACCGAGCGAAGACCGATAGACCAGCGACATTGCGGCGATGCTCAAGACTTTGTCATCTCTTTTTCCAAAGAGCGTTGTTTCTAATGAGCTTCTTGGCGCGCCTTTCGATGGTCTCCAACGCTTCAAGCTGGTATTTGGCAGAACCGACCCAAAGGTGCGAGCAATACTCCATGCAGGACCGCACTTGCGCTTGATGTAGTGTAAGCAGCTGCTCCGGCGTGAAGTACCTTCGCACCTTCGAGACGGCAAATACGGCTGAATGTATGAGCCAAATTTGAGCTGTAAGATAAAGTCACACCAAGAAGGTCAAGGTGGTCTGTGACCGGTCCGGTCACATCCCGGAATGCGGGGGCCAGCTCAAACGGCCTCCTTTTGGAGGAGAATAGACAAGCCTAAGATAAGTTATGGCCATGAGTTATGACCGACCAAGTGTGAGCGAGCGAAAATAATAGGTAATTTGAAACAGTACGTTAAGGAATTTGACATATGGAAGTCTAGTAGGTAGTTATTTAATCCAACACTTTTCAAATAGAGCTAAATCTTTAAAGATTATATTATCTAATAAAATTTTGTTACAAAGCATACATAGATATACATCCGTACTAATTTATACCCAAATCTGATTAACTAATAAAAAAGCCGTAAGGACTAGTTATTTTTATTATAAACAAATTACATAGTAATAAGTATTTTTAATGATTTTCGATATAGAAAGCGGATAGGACACCATACTCTACACTAGAGGTATTAGAACTTTTTGGTGATGGAATTACGAGTGATAGATAGATAAATTGTTTATCTGAATTTTTATGTCTCACACATGTACATTTTGTTAAACAAGTTTCAATATGGTATAAATAAGATGAAGAAAAATAAAAATTTCTGTAAGCAGGAACAACACAAATTAACAGCATGCATGCTGCAGCGTATATGCACCGCTACGGTATGCATGCTGTGTTAAATTTTAATATAATATTCACAAATTGGCAAAAGCCGAGGTGGGATTCGAATATGTAATTTTTCGGAAACCATGTAGAATGTAAATAAAGAAATTTACTTGTCAAATGTAAGTTTTATCGGTACAAATGACGTTTAAATATCATCATACATATTTGTAAGTAAGATTATGTTTAAAAAAAACATGCTGTGTAATTGCTTATCAATAAATGGGATAGTAATATTCTAGGATAAGACACTTATCGTTTATACGTCACTGGTTATGACTAGTTTATCTGGGTTCTATTCAGGTCAAAAGTCGGGCCCATTATCTACAAGTTACGTAGGCAAGGCACTGTATAGATAAAAAAAACATATAACACGAATATGGTCAAATAGTAATATCGCCGAAATGCTTAGCAGCTTAATGCATAGTTGTAAAGTTGCATAGTCATAACTTAAAAGATAGAAAATTGCAACCATAACTGCAACAGACCGGAAGAAATGTATAAGCGTTTCTTTCTTATATCCCTTCGGTAGGCAATAGACCTAGAGGATGCGTGCCACTTGCCATTACAGAGGATGATTCCTGAGAAAAATAGTCTTGGGTTAGATCCATGGTATTTTTGTCTCAAAATTTAAAAAAATATAATTTATATAATAAGTTGAAATTTCAATTTTGATTTTCCTAACTTCCCGCTAAAACGCCATTTCTGTCAAAGCGTCTTTATGACGGCACGGCACTCCGAAACGAATATCGATCTTTCATTTATTCTGATATGAGTAAGAGGGTCTTAACGTCACATGCTGTTTGCGCTCACGTAACAACGTGTATAAAATATTTGATTTTTCAAATTAATTTAATAAATATAATAAGCATAAAAGTGAGATTATCGGTAATAGTATATTAAACACCAGACAAGAAATCATGTGTATCTATTTGCGTTTACTGTCTACACTCGTATTATCGGTATTATTTTGGATTTATATTTATAACTAGTGGACGCCCGCGACTTCGTCCGCGTGGAAGTCGGTATCCCGTGGGAGTGAGAAGTTTTCCCAGTAAAAAGTACCCTATGTGTTATTCTGATGTATAACCTATATTGCTGTAAAGTTTTATCCAAATCCGTCCAGTAGTTTTTTCGTGAAAGAGTAACAAACATCCATACATCCATACTTACAAACTTTCGCCTTTATAATATTATAATAGGATATAATAGGATCTATACATATACAAAAGGAGATCTGACTTACTGACTGACAGAAATACTAGAAACTTGAAATTTGGAGCAAAGATTTCCCTTAATATGTAGAGGTGTACTAAGAACGGATTTCCATCCCGAAGGGGGTCAAAAAGGGTGAAAAAGTTTGTATGAAACTTTTTTGTCTATAGACCTATGTCGATCAAAATTGGCATTTGGGTAGTTAATGAGCCTAGGAAGGTAATATGTTATATTTTATCCCGAAAATTAGCACTTAAAGGATAAATATGGAAGTAAAAGATTTTATGAGGAATCATAATGTTACCATAGCAACCATTATTTACAATCTGATTTGTGAGTGTAAATAAAATTACCTAATAATATTTACAAAATATTTTATTGTATAGCGATGAAAACTTTTATTTGAGTAAATATTACATTTTTGAAATTGAAATGCATAAAAATTTTCAAATTAAACTAATTTTGTTTACGAAAGAAAAATTATTTTTATATTTTATATATATATATATATATGAACTGCACTAGATGGCGTTAAATGAATTCTAAATCACAGATTTTTTTCCTAGAAAATTTACCTAGAATAATGTTTGTTTCAAAAAATATATGTTGCACTGTAAATAGAAATATTATTCTATCATCAGCTCTTTTAACTCCCTACTGCAAAGGCTCACAGGCCTTCGTTATCGATGGTGATAAGGAGGATGGGCCATGACCGTCCACGCTGGCCCAATGCGGATTGGAAGGTATTAACGACTGCAAATGCTTCCGGGCTTTATATGCCAAAGCATGCAAAGAAGCTTGAGATACGAATTTTTTGGTCACCCATCCCGTAACTGGCCTTTGTGAAAGTTGTTTAACTACAACGACCACGAGCGCCACGCGCTTATCCACTACGCCACCGAGCTACTCTCAAATTTCTCAATTTCATTTTAAATCTTAAAGTATTGATAGGAGAGTAGTGAGTTTGAAAATAAAATGTAGTAAGAAATTTAAGCTTTGCACGTCATGTAGCATATACATGACGTTTATGAAAAAGTAATCTGCGCTAACGTTTCTATCAAAGAATTTTACGTAGATTACGTTCCGATTAAGTTTTTGTAAACTTCAGAACTGTTTTTCATCTGTACTTCAAATTGGATTGGATTGGATAAATATCTCTCTAGGTAATTTCACCATCGGCTTGAAAAACAACAGCATTATTGGAAAATATATGCTGCCCAAAGTAACTATACCACGCGGACGAAGTCGCGGGCAAAAGCTAGTTATCAATATTTGTCACCGGTTTGATGCTGTGCCTGAAAATTTTCTCAGAAATCTACCTAGTCCCAGAGATAAGAATCGTCAAATTTTTATATAATTTGAATATCTTCAAACTTTAATTAAAAAATCGAAGATAAATTGCTATATGTGTTACTAATTCCAAAATTGGAAATCGTTAAATGTGATTTTGTAAGCGCAACTTGAGAACGGCTACATCAATGAGGTAATTTATTAAAATATTCGTTTGACTCTGAGGAAGGAAGAGCAAAAACAATAAATTAAAAGAAAATAGTCCTAGAATTTCCTAGAGTGAATACAACACCTTACCAAATTTTGCTTTACAAACTGTTAATCTATATAAAGGCTCTGTCTAATCTATATAAAGCTGAATTGATGAATAAAGGTAAAGAAAGTAAAGCGGACGAGATGGGCTGCTAGCTCGTCTCTAATGTTTCTGGAAAAGATATTAAGAGGACGCTAATATTCACATAATCTTTCTAATAGATTCGTACCAAAAAAAAAACAGAAAACTACATCATATTTCAAAAGGTTATATCACAGCCAAAAAGTGAATTTATGAAATTTTCTGTATAGAAAACAAACCACAAATGGCCTAAACTTTTTTTGTTGCAATTATAAACCTCTTCATAGGGAGAAAATTAGCACTTTTACAGTAATAACTTTATTGTTATTTTTGTAAAAGTGCAAATTTTCACGAGAGTTATTCTTTATATTATTGTCTTTGTATGATTATATTATCAATATATAGAGGTTGAGAATTATTAAAACAGTTATTAACATCCAATTTGCCTTTCTATGTCCTCATTTAGATCAGGTACCTAATGACAATGAGTCTTTTGTCGTGACGCCCCCTCTTAAGTGTAATCTAATATCATATGTGGTGTGGTGTCTATCTCATGTTTCTGCGCATTTAATGCTCTAATTACTCTGCAAGGGATATCATAATGAATGTTCGAGTACCTAGGTTCCCAAAGAATAAAACGGCACCATATTACTTTGACTCCGCTGTCCGTCCATCTGTTTGTCTGTCTGTCTGTCACCAGCGAGTTGTCCTTTTTACACGACTGCGTGACGCAAAGAAGGGTTATGTGTTTATCAGTCTATGTATGTATGTTTGTTTCTATGTGGCGTTCTAGAGACCAAACGCGTAGGCCGTCTTAACCTTGTTGACGATAACCAGACGCCATATTGTCAAAAAAATAAATCATTCTCGCTAATTTTCTTACTTATTGATTTAAGTTTTTATTTAAAGTATAAACGATATACAAACAATAAAAAAACAGTGAAAAAGCATAAAGAACAAATCGCTAAATAGCACGAGTAAAGAAAAGTTTACCACCAAGCTCGATAGATGGACTCGATAGATAACTGAAAAGTATAAAACATAAATAAATAACTTAAATAAATATAAAAATATATGAAAAAATTAACATAAAAACTAAAATGAAAGAAACAAGCCCAATAGTTTAGAATTCTGTTAAGTGATACTAAAATAAGTAAACTATACAATTGAAATAATTTTATAATCGATACACACATATAGCAAATCATAAATTATAATGTTAATTTTTTCATGTATTTTAAGCAGTCGGCTTTTTTGTTTTTCTTTAAATTATTTTATCCTTTCGAGTTACCGTACTCTAAAAATTAGGCATATCTCCTAGAAATAATCATTTGGTTATATGTTTATCTATCTGCCTGTCAGATTAAACTTGAAAAGCTACCAAAAAGCTGGCCAGGTGAATTCATTCTTACCTTTAGAATTAGCACTACTCTGTTGAGCCTCTTCAATATCTCCATGGTATGGCTTTCGTCCAGACCCTCAACGTCTAGAAGTGATCTGACGGAGTCCACCTCGAAGATTATCTGCTTGAACCATAGCTCATAAGCTGTAAGTAAAATATTGATGTAAATGAAATTTGGAGTAGTTTGGTGGCGTAATGGATAAGCGCCGCGGCCTGCGATCGTTGTTCAGTTCAGCAACTTTCGCAAGGGTCGGTCACGGGGTGACCAAAATTTATTGACTCTGGCTCCGTGCTTCGGAAGGCACGTTAAGCCATTGGTCCCGAAGTCGATAATACTAATAATACCCGGAGTCGTTAATACTCTCCATTGGGTTATCGTGGAGGGTCATGACCCATCAACATACAGGAACGGTTCTTTCGTGATTGTTAGTGAACACTAAAAAAGGATTTGGTATAGGGGGGGTGAAGTATATATGAACCATGCCCGCATGAAGCCGTTGGCGGCAAGCTCGTGCCTTACTAAATATTTTCATGCCAGGTTATTGAGTCAGCCCCGTGGCGAAACTCCCCCTCAACAGCCCCTTAGTCCGCTATAGACTGTACGAGTAATTCTGGTTCAAAAGATTATGGCGCCAATTCTGTAGTCTCATTATCCAAACTTAAACGAACTAATTCAAATTTATCTGAGTTCCCTGCCCTAGAACCGAGTAAACTTTACAGTGGCTTGCTACCGATTTATTTATAATTTTAATTAAACGGATTAAATGCCTATATGTGTGTATGCAAAGTAACAAAATGATTTTAAGGCAAAAGAAATTTAGAATTATTATTTTACATTCACAAAAGCGTTTAGTCATTATACCTCCCTATACCTTTACTATATATAATCAACGCTGATATTTTGTGCGCAAAAAAATGTTTCAACTGCGTTACAGTCAACAACATATCGGGTTGTCCAAAACTGAGAAAATATCTAATTTTGTTTACAGTAATAATACATTAACAGTTAAGTTCAATACTGGTTGGAGAAATTTCATAATTTGCTGTAACCTGATATGATGCTGTGCAGGCGTGGTTACACTTACGTACCTTGGTGGGTCACAATAAACAAGTGCTCGTCATGAACAGGCTTCGAAGACTCAGCGCTGAGCATCCTCTGAGCACCAAGTAATTTGTCAAGCATCAAGTATTCTCCGTAGAGCATTCCCGCCTCGTTACCTAAGTGGTTACCATCCTGGCCCGCAATTTCATCCAGCGCTGATCTAAATACCAAATACAAATTATTTTCGTCATTTACATGTACACTCAAGTATTTCGGCCGATTTATTACAAATCTCAACTAATTATTCTCAATGACTTAAGTTTTACATGGCAAAAACTATTTGTTATATCAAACTGCTATCAATTGATCATTAAGAGGGGTGTTCAAAAAGTAGTGAGAAAGGCTATATTAGAGAATTTATTTTTTTTTATTTTTCGACGTAATCATCCTTTAGGTCAATAAATTTAAGAAATCGTTATTTTTGAGCCAAAATTCCCTTTTTAAAAAAATCTTCATCTTGAGTACTTAAAAAATCGTATACGGCGGCCTTCCCTTCGTCGTAATCTTTAAATTTTGTGCCTCTCAAATGTTCTTTCAAATGCGGAAATAATAAGAAATCACTAGGGGCTAAGTCCAGTGAATATGGCGGATGATCGAGAATCTCAATGCCAGCATCTTGGATTGCTGCCATGGCAACTGCAGACTTGTGGGCCGGCGTGTTGTCTTGATGGAACAAAACTTTTTTCGTGACTTTTCCTCGTCGGTTTTTAAGGATTTCCTGACGTAATTTTTTTATTTGTTCTTGTGGAATATGGAGGAGCAGACTCCCCCAATGTCTCACATAAATTTGTTCCGTAGTAAAATTTTTCAAGCAAAAGTATTTTATTACTGCACGGATTTCAATTGCATCAATTTTTTTTTCGAGCGTTAACGACACGTCACAAATAAATAATTAATACAACTGACACAGACAAGATAGAAACCTAATTATATATATATTTGAGAGTATTATAACAAAAACCTAATCTTTCCGTGGCAATTCTTTTTTCAAGTACACTCCATTACTACGACATTCGAAGTAAATATGAAGAAACGAAAATTTTATAAACTGTTTGTTATATATATAAGTAAGATATATATAAGTATAAAATTTATTTCAAAACTAGCTTTCGCCAGCGGCTTCGCCCGCGTGGTCCCTAGGTAAATGTTTAGTGGGATAAAAAGTATTCTATTATCTAAGTCCGCTAATACCCCATCTGTATACCAAATTTCATTAAAACCCGTTCAGTAGTTTCGGCGTGATTGATGGACAAACATCCAAACAAAGAAACTTTCACATTTATAATATTAGTAGGATTTACCTCCTGAATAAGTAAATAACAGTGGAATATTTATTTTTTATTCAATTTTTTTTATTGAAGTACAGAAATAAAATTCCACTAAACTTATTGCTTCTAAGTTTAGCGATAATTTTAGGTATTTTGGTACTTTTAGTGAAACTAAACGTAAATTTATTCAGGTTCACGAAAAAAGACTAGGTGCTGATCTAGACTTTGTAATGTAACTTTGTATTGTAATGTATGTAATCTGAGATTTAATATACCTACTAAGTCTTCCTGGAATGTCTCTAACAATGTGATACTCGATTTGGCATAGCCACTGAGAGATCTGCTGCTGTTAACGGAATAAAAAAATTAGCTCATATAAAAAGTTGTACGTCTGTCAAGTTAATTGATGGGTTCAATATATCGTGAACTCAACTGGTTTCACCAGTCGGCAGTAGGTGAAAAAATAAATTACGCCTACTTTTGTACATGTTCGGCAAACTTGGTTCTGTACAATTCCTTTTCTTCGACTATCCTTATGAGGAAAATATTTGGTATCTTCTGTGGTACTAGGTATTACAAATAATAAAAAAGTGGGTATCTAATAATATCAAAGATAAATCAATTAAACAAAGAGTTTACAAAAAAGGTCGTAAGAACTAGTTTATTAAGAAAAGAGCCAATAAAAGCTGGCACTATGGCTGAACAGTAATCATTTTCACGCAACTGATAATAGTTATAGCGTACATTATTATTACAAATTGATTTAATATAATAGCTAGCCCTACGAAATTTTTACTGCTCACTTGTTAACGTTTGAAGTTTACATATGCACGTGTTTTGTTTTATTTTTTACGTAGTCGAATTTCTCCATTTGATTTCAAATCTTTATGATTTATGTGTGGAGCTTAAAATCAAATTAAGGAATTTGACTTGCAGGAAAACGAAGTCCCTTTAGGATCACGTCTACCTGTCCGTTGCGGGGCCTGATTTAGGCAAATATAATAACCGCCGTCCTTTAGCTTTCCGCCAGTGGCTTCGCTCGCGTGATTCTGTTTTATACAGGAATATACCTGTATATATTACACTCTTGGTTGATGAAAACCGTTTTTAAATATGTTGTGTAAAAGATATCAGCGTAAAAACAGCGGGAAGCATCATTGTTTTGTATTATGTATACCATCATCATAATTATATCACCGAAAGTTGTGTGACCGTTATTATAATGTGTTGTTAGAAAAACGAAATACTGTCTTTGTTTATTTTATTACGCTCGGCAATTTTATCGATAATAATAGATAGATAGACAAAACACATATGAAATTTGTAGCTGTGTAAAATGTTACAACTCCACGTGATCTGTTTTGCTTCTCATCATCGAATGTAATTTGAGCTATTTAAATTTAATTAAAAATTTACATTTTAAGTAACTAGCAATATATTATAATATTCTAACGCCAGAGTAAATCATATATTACACCCGCGTATGACATTGCTTCGCAGTCTATTTGATGCAAACATACAATCAAATCTTTTCTATTTCTAACGATAATATATATGTATAATTTATAAGTCTATAATTATCGAGTAATATTGTTTAAAATGCCGTGCAAAAATTGCCATCGGTTTCATACTTATTTTGTAAATCAATATAAGTTTCGCTTTGCAGAGTCCTTATTTAGAATAGTTTGAAAAGTCATTTACTACAATCATTTACTTAGATCTAAGTATTTTTAATATCATTTTAAGTAACCAGATAACTCATGGGTCATCTGTGGACATCACTAACATGTTTACATGTACTTAGTGGGTACTGATAAAAATGGCCAAGTAAACATCTATGAGAATCTTGTCGTATTTGCATAATTATTCTAAAAAATGCTTCCGGTGTAAATTCTTTATAAAAACTGGTTTTACTTATTTCATATCTATTAAAAAAGTTTAAAACACGAGTACCATACGTCTGAATTCAACAGCGCTTCAATTTTTGCGGTAGATTTCGCATAAAAGATGTTTTGACAACTAATTAAATAAGTCTATTACACAATATAATGCCTACTACGACGGTGGAATCGTTGGTATATATCTATTTTATATAAAATATTTTATTATGAAATAACGTATGAAGATTCCTTAGGGAGTTTAGAGGAGTGGCTAAATCAGGGGATGAAAGTTTGTATAAAATCTCTTTACTACAAGTGCTAGGAGTTTCAAATTTTGTATGCGGGTACTTTTTAGGACGTAGGTGTTCACTAAGCCGGGTTTTACGAAATTCTACTCCTAAGGAGGTTAATAAGGGGATGAAATTTTTCATGGAATCATCTCATTTCTGGACTTAAAACTAAACCTCGAGGCGAAGTCGCATGCAAAAGCTAGAAGAATTATATACTTGTAAACGGATGCGTTAAATTAATGAAGAAATATGTTATATCTACAATTTATATTATGAAGAGTTTGCTTGTTTGTTTACATCGAATAAGTTTCTAAACTATTATACAGATTATGAAAATATTTTATCATTAGAATTTTACATACTCCTTAAGCTTTTTAATGCGATAGGATATTAAAGATACAGCCGCAAAAACATTAGATATCCATATGAAAATTCCCGCGCGAAGTAAGATGGAGCAGCTAATTTAGATGTTTTTTAACTTTATATTTATTTATAATCCTTTGATATTTAATATTCTTAATGAATAATGCTTAAAAAATCCACTTGGCCCTGGCACTAATGACGATAAAACCTACTTCTTATAAATTTTAACTATCCATTATAACTACGGATCTCTAAATCTAGACTGATGGTTCGTTACACTCAACATGACGTGTTAATAATTTCATCATATTAATACAGCTGGGGGGTTTTTTCTACTATACAATAAATTAAAAATACAATAAAATATATTTTTTTAAATAGTAAAAAGTAAATGTACCTCATTATTTTGTATAATTAAAATTTTACTTGCTTTTCGGTTATTTGTTGTAATGTAAGTATGATTATAAGTGTTTTTTTATGTATGTCAGCTAAAAAAATGTAATATATTTATTAATTAAGAAAGATCTCCTAATAGGAGTTCAATGTTGGTAATGCGGGCGTAGCCAATTTTTAAACCGCATTGGTATTTAAGAGCTATTTCAGGATGATCTATTATTAGTTTTAAAGCAATTTTAAAGATGTTAATACGGGTTTCTATCACATAATTATAAAAAAAAAACACCATCACAACATCGCAGTGAATATTAATTAATAACTATTTTTGGTAAATAATAACTATATAGATTTTAAAAATTTCTCATGATACTCACCTCATCGGACAAGCCATTGTTAACAGTAAAAAAGAAATACACAATTTTAAAATAAGAATTCGATGTATCCGTTGTCTGCGCGCACCAAAGAGAATTTATTCACTACGTTTTTATGTTTCCGCACTTTCGCCGCTCGACGAGCGTCACACGATACTGGCGGGCGCGGACAGTTAGATACATACACACACTGGTGTTGATTTCATCATCCCCTTTTGTTATCAGGTAATTTTAACTTTTCTATATCGATTTAATTGCTGGTGGTAAATCAGCGATAATGCGTGTCCAATCGATATTAAGAAATGCAGTGATTGAGTGAAACTGGTTTTGTCATCTACCCCGTATCATTAAATGGTAATAAGATTGTTTGTTTTCTTTTCTTTATTTCATTGTTGTTTTTTTTATGCCGCGTTTTATGATTCATGGTTTAAAAGATATTTTATATTTTTTTAAATATATTATCATTTTCGATTCAATCGATATGGTACCTACTCGAGTTATGATTGAAGAAAAACCGGCTCAGCATTTTTAAAGACTCGCGTCAAAAAATCACGTTTGATGTATGGGAGCCCCTTAAATATTTAATATATTCCATTTTTTTTAGTTTATAGAGGCAACAGAAATACATCATCTGTGAAAATTCAAACTATCTAACTATTATGGTTCATGAGATACAGCTTACTTGACAGACGGACGGATGGACAGCGAAAGCTTAATAATAGGTAAGGCCTTTGGGTACGGAACCTAAGAAAATTACCTATAAAAAATAATAAATTATATATATATATATATTTTACTAATATTAAAAAATATGTTCTATTCTTTTATAATTGTTTAGAATGAATCTCTGATTCATAAGTGAAGTTACCCTTTTCGCTTCTGATCAACTTCTCACTATTTCACATTGGTCTAATCAGCTAGGTCTTTGCTTTGGTAACTTTAATACCGTCTTAACTAACCACATTAGCCATTCATGACATTCGGAAGCTTTTAGCCTAATGGCGTATTTACATTGGTCGATAACGGCGGGTGTGGGAGAGACTTTTGTTCCTCGTTTTCATTGGTTGGTAATTACAGTTTATTTGTATGTATTTCTACGTACGTGATTATTTATTAGGCACCCTCTTAATGCACACTGCTTTGTCGTAAATATAAGTAAAAGAAACTATTTTCGACCTTCAAAGATTGGTAGTAGAAAGCAACAAGTCAAATTAGTCATTTTAAAAGTAGAACTTCATGTAAACTGAGTAAAGGCCGACATTTATTGATTATTAATATGACATAACATAAAGTTTATGTAAACATCGTTGTTAATGTTGCTGATAAGTTTCTTACATCCTTTGCTTGTCAAAAATATCTTCAATGGTAGGTAGGTAAAACCTATAATTAGTGCGATTGGACCTCCACGGGCTCCTTGCCGGATTCCGGGTCCTCCCCTTCCCCTCCCGGAGGGTACACGTAGCTGGTTTTACCAGGTATGCCGGCCTCGCTTAAGCCTTGCCTTGCATTTTAACTGCGTTAAAAAAATAACAAAAGTGCTTTTAAGACCATGACTTTGATCTTCATATTCAACGTGTATGGCTGAATGGCTCGCACCCCGCCAGGCTGGTTTCACATTGTCTCTGAGGTTCCGGTCGCCGGTCGGGGCAAAGTACAAAATAATTTCTTTTCTACATTGTCGCGGATCTGGCTTTTGTTACGGATACATTATTTTTGGATTACCGTAATACTCGTGCTAAAAGCTACTTAATATGGTATCTAAGAAATGTATGTCACGTTGTCTAATATTTATTTTAAACAAAATATACTTTTTTAAATATTATTTGTACACAACAAGTCATGGAATTTAATAATACGCGATACCTATGAGACATTATAATATTATAGTAGGTATTTTTGTGTGATCTATATAGTGTAAATGTATATTTTTGTTGCCTCAGCCTTTACATTATGCCATAATCAGGTTACACTAATCAGCGGAACTAGTCATTTTTGTATTTTATACTACGCAAATATTCTAATCTATTAATGTCAATAATTCGTAGATTAGAATGTTTGCAATAAATATTTCAAAGACTTCTCTCTAAAAATATATCTGTTACTGTAACTTATCGAAGCTTTAAGGTACCTACTTCTCAATTTTGGGACTTACTAACACTATGTGGTAATTGTAAGGATTTCATAAAAAGAGTCGATTGTTCTTTTACAGGCTGGAAAGAACTAAGTTCGGCTAATGACGGTTGGTAAATGTTAATATTGTAAATAAAACTAATTATGGATCTTAAATTTAAATTACCTGTCATTCAATGCCTCACGTAATAATCAAATAATAATTACCTATTAAAAACCTGCTCTAACAACAGAATTACTTTATTTGTAAGTTTGGATTTACCGTGTCCCTGAGGTAAAACCTAAGATTTACCGAGTGCATGATGGAAAAGGTTCGAAATGAGCAACAATCACAGAATACTTCTACAGGAAAATCTTAAGATTTTCTGAACTTCAAGCTTTAATGGTCTCATTCCTTTTATTTTTTATTCTTTATTTACAATTTTAAACTCAGAATAGACAATCAGCGAACTTAAACACTTCTTGCGGTTTAAAAAGGGCGTTACGATCTGAATCCGTTCTAAAGTTTATCTCGCATCGGGTAAATTTGGCTGTACTCCTTTATATGTGATCTTATATTCCCTCCAACCACCCCATATATTTAATATCGTTAAAAAACCTATTTACTTCTATATTCCATTATAATTACGACTTTGCTGATTGAATCTAGTATGTGCCCCTGCGTATACCTGAGTAGGTTTGTCTGTAAATATCATTTAGTTACATAAAGATTGGACTAATAACAACTAATCATATATGTAAAGATTATTAAACATCAACAAGGCATAACCCTAATAATGGTATCGACTATGTACAAATAAATTTAATATTCTGAGGAATTCATTAGAAACTTGTTACTGGATTAGAAACGATATTTATTATCATGGTACCAGAGATATTGTGTAAGTATATAGGTATGTATCAAAGACAGAAATGCATTTTTTCCCTACCACTCGTTCAGGACATCTATAGGACGTCTTTTAGCTAACTATAAGAAATTCATCAGCTCTAATGGAAGTAACGGCATTATATAATATGATAATGTTATTGGAAATCCACGAAAATATTTATTTAAATAGAGATAGTTATTCATATAAGACGTGATTGTACATATTAAGGCGTGTGCAGATTAATGACGGAGAACAGCCAACATGAAACGTTTGCCGGGTTGGGTCTTCTTTTGTTTACAAAAAAAAAGAACAGACATCAAACATCGACATAAATAAAGTGAAAAATAATAGGTATTTATGTTATACTTATTAAGAAAATACTATTAAAATCGGGCGGGCGTATTCTGTAGGTTATTAATTTATTTATTAGGGCCCGACTTCAATTGCATTTTCTTGATTAATTCGCTTTTGTATTATATTTCAGGTTCTTACTTTGTAGTCGGTTTTTTTTTATTTCATGCCATTTAGTAATTTTGATATTTTATATATTATGATATTATATAATAGGTAACACGACAAGCATTAGCTTTCATATAAAAAAAAGAATCATCAAAATCGATCCACCCAGTAAAAAGTTATGAGGTAACAAACAGATAAAAAATAGTCCTTTTTTGACGTCGGTTAAAAATGTAGAAATAGTGTTTAAATTCTCGTAAGTGGGTACTACACACATGAAACAAGATACATACAATGTTCGGAGCAGTACTGGTATACTGGATAGAGGAAGGCTTGAAGGGAGAAATGGAGTTATTGGCAACCCAGATAGCAATTTAAACTTGTTTCTGACTTGCAACAAGTTTTATACATCAAAAAAGAAGACTTGCTTCAAGTTTGCCATGACAACTGCAGCAACTTTAAATCAAACTTTCTAGTTTCAGTGTGAGAAACTTGCACTACCTTTGACGTATCAATGGTAGTGCAAGTGTACCTAGGAAAATTATTATTACTGATTAATTTTCCTAGGTACTGACTCGAATACCTAGCAGGTACTCAGCTACTCGAGTACATGGAATACAGAGTTCAACGCAAATATTACTTTAAGTTTACTAAGTTTTTATTAATCTTTTGAACATTCAAAACTTTTAGTCCAAAAGAGATTGCGACTTTAAACTCAGACCACAGCCTAGCCTAAGAGCCAAAGTAATTAACTGCAACGGTTGGTTTTGAATCCCATATAAAGATCACATTAAACGGCATATTACTTATATAATCTAACAATAAAAACTGATAACGCGATGCATTAAATGAACAGTGCCTTCTAGTTTGCAGACTTAGAACTATTCGGGTACCTATAAAGCTGATGGGTGTGTTACAAATAATTATCTTTGTCATAACAATATTCAAACAATATTGTCGCAAACATGAAACTTCATATTTAACATAACAATATTACAGCAACATTGTCACAAACTTGCCTCGTATATTTGACACAGCAATTTAGAATCAAAGAAAAATCAAACTTGCCACAAGTTAGAATGCTATCTGGGAACCAAAGAGAATGTACAATATTTTAGTAAAGTAAAGTACGAAATGACATACTATCATAGATTAATATTACCTTGGTAAACACAATTCTTTATAATTATTTACTATATTTATTACATAGTTTTATTTATAAAGTTTTGTATTGGTATATAAACGACAGGGAAAATATAAGGTTATAGGGTTTCAAGTTATTATCTTTACCTAACTAGGTAAAGGGTATTAATAATAAACATGGCATGATGATGATAGGAAGATAATTAATAAATAATGAAAATATACAGATGGGGTATTTGATGGGTATTCGTAACTGGCACGAAGGCACTAAAAAGAGAATAAAATTTGCATCAAACTTATTAGCCTTTATTGTCAAATGCTATTCAATAATTTGCTCTTTGGTCAAATGTCTTGTCACTTGTTGGAATATTAATTATTTAGAAATTTATGTGTCAAATAAAATACGTTTATTATTTTGATAAGTTGGTATATCTACATATGATTGGGTCATGTTTACATCTAAATTAATAAGGTTAGTCTTAGTTTAATACAGAAGTTATTGTTTGTAATAGCTTTTAACAATTTGGTTATAATAATACATTTATAAACAAAGCTTCTAA